ACTTGAGCAGACTTCTTGGGAGTCTTCGGACTTTCTTCGCACCCGCTTCCTGAAAAGATTGCATTTGCAAAAAAAGTCGTTTTTGGGGCGGTGCCCCAGATGCGGAGCAGAAGATTCTTTACAACACAGTATGGACCAAGACCAAGTAAAAGGCAGACTTACATGTAAAAGTGCAGTATATTAAAACAAAGCCGTTTACAACTCCCTGTAACGCCGGATTAGAGCCCAGCTCTGAGGAGGAGGAGGAGGGGAGGGTACTGGGGGGAAGGTATATCCTTCCTCCCTCTTTCTCACCTCCTCATCCTGTCTGCTACTCCTCCCTCCGAGTGGCGTCGCCGTCGTCTCACGAGGATCACGTGACCTCACGGGGGTCACGTGACGATGACGACGTCATCAGTGACGTAACTAATGACGTCATCAGTGACGATGCCCATCACGTCATCAGTGACGATGCGGATGCCGATGACGTCATCAATCACTTCAGTGATGACGTCATCAAGGACGATGCGGATGCCGATACGTCATCAGTGACGTCACTGACGATGTCATCAGGGACGATGACGATGCGAATGCCGATGACGTCACGCGTCCCATAATGCACCGCGCGGTTACGCCGACGGCGACGCCGCTCAAGCCGGAAAAAGAGCTCTCTAAAAACGCGTCGGAGCAATGCGCAAGCGGAGAAGAGAGAAGTGAATCTAATGCCGAAGCAAACCCAGATTTCGCACTTCAGAGGAGTGCGTGCGAATGAACGTGGAAGGCAGCGGGTTGGCTACCTGCTAAACAACGCTCCTCGAACTATAAGAAAACAATAACTGATCCTGATCATGTTTCAGCGGCACGCGAGTCAACGAGTTATCAGAGCTCTGCTAGTTATGAGCCGCCTCCCGCTCCCAGATCTGTCTGTGTGCGCGCGCGTACATCCTCCATGCCGTCGCAAAAAAAAAAAAAAAAAAAAGCAAGACAAGAAGGACGGAGGAGCTGCGCATGGCGGTTTCTTTCTTTGCCGCTCCCTTCGTTTCCTATGTTTGGTGCTTGGTTTCTTGTTTCGCTCTCGTGTGACACCAGTGAAGCCCGTCGCCTGCGTGTCTGTGAAACGCGCCACGGCAAGCCCCCCCCCCCCCCCCCCCCCCCCCCTGCTCTTTGCTTTGGCGCGGGCTAGCTGTTACCCGCTCGAGCAACTGACTCGCTCTTTGCTTTGACGTGGGCTAGCAGTGAGCAACTGACTCGCTGACTGGCTCGAATCAGCAAAACATAAAAAAAAAAGTGAAAGCCGTTTACAATTCCCTGTAACGCCGAATTAGAGCGCAGCACTTGAGGAGGAGGAGGGAAGGGTACTAAGGGGGGGGTCACGTGACCCCCCCCCCCCCTCCCCGAGGTCACCGAAGGTACCCGAGGACCTTGGCGAAGGGGGGGGGGGGGGGGGGGGGGAGGGGCTCGCGGTTACGCCGACATCGAAGCCGCTCAAGCCGGAAACAGGCGCCTAAAAGCTGCGCTCTAAAAAAAGAAAAAAAAGAAAGAGAACTTGGCTTATTCCATTCCCATTTCGTTCCGGGCAAAAGGCATCTAATTCCATTCCCATTCCATTCTCGTCAACGTTGCCGCCCATCCCATTTCCATTACATTCCGGGGTCGCGAAAATGCGGAATGATTCCGGAATCATTCCAACTCCGGAGTGGCAACTCCGCAACACTGATCAATAGACATAGAAATACAGCTGCCAGTTTTTTTATTATCAAATATTTATTTTGTAATAAAGAAATTCAGTAAACCATTTTTATTTACACAAACTTTTATGAAAAATATATCAATATTAAATACTCCAAAATAATTTATTTAAATACACAAACAACATACAAACTACCTAGATGATAAAAAAAAAAGCCGGCTTAAACAATCCATTTTATAATTTTAAATTTAAAGGAACACTGCAAAGAAACAAACGATTTTAAAAGCACCTCAATACAATTTACATTCTTCAAAATGAAACTCCCCCCCCCCCCCCCCCCTCCCCCGTTTTTCACCCCAATGGCGTGGGACTCATTCTTTTCCTCAAATGTCACTCATAATGCACTTATCAGCTGCATCATGAGGACCTGACAAACGAGTCTTGTGCCGTTTATGATCCTCCAATTAATTTTCTTTTTAGGATAAAATTCATTTTGTGCTACGAAAATTGTATTCAAGCTGTTCAGAAAACTTTTTTTGAGTGTCCCTTTAAGTTTTACAGTTAATTTTACAAGTAAAATGAAAACAAGCGTCAGTACATTAATACTTCATTCAAGCCTTACGGCTGAAACGTCAGATTACTTAGTGCTTGCTGCTCTGGAAAAGTATACAAGACTGTGCATGACCTGGAGAATAACAGACATAACTCAAAAATAGCTGACGCACATCCGCAGGTGTAATAATGTTCGAGTGCTCTGCTTGGCAATATAAGTTATCCATTGAGGAAGGAAAAGACACCACTCATACAGTCCCAAACATGTAGCTTTGTTTTACAATGCACAAGAACAAGTTTTCCTCGACTCTCAGTGCAAGACACTTCTTTAAAGACACTGAATTAACTTGAACAATATGCTGAGCCAATTCGACAGAAACAAACTCCTGGAAATCCACATTATGACTTCAATCAACAAGGGAAACTGATTTCACTTTCAATTCCTAAATATCAAAGAATACAATGTTTTCACACTTGCAGGAAAAATGTTCACACCTGTTTATTGAATCAGTACAATGCGGCCAAAGACACGTTTTCTCATTAACACTAACTGCTTCCATATAAAAGTCGGGGCGGCGAGACTTGTCATGCCTTTCGTTGCAAAACGTCACACCATTTACCGTTACCCCAGTGAAACACGGGCCTTGAGTCAACACTTGACCCTTTCCATGAAAAACACAGCCAAATGACGACGCAGAAAATTTCAGTAGCGAATATGTTTTGTTCAAGCAGGTCATGAGGCTCTTGACAGAAGGCTGCATAAAAAAGAAGCCACTATTGCAGAGCTTTGGCGGAGCCGACATAATTAAGAACTTGTCTACAATCTGCCACTAGGCAAACTGCCTTACCGTTCAAAAACTGTACAATGCGCCCATTCATGTGGCCCCAATCTCTCACAAAATTGACAAGGTGCAGAAGCAAATGCGCTTTGTATGTTAGGTGCTGCTTCCCGTAGAGCGTCCCATACTCTTTTAGGAAAAAGGTCATTTGTTTGCTCACCTTTTCAAGCTAGTCTAACAGGATTGATTCCATCAGCAGGAAGTGCATGACATGGACTAACTTGATCCAGTTCTTAAAGTAGACTGCGGGTGAAATACCTCTTAGTACAACTGGGGAAAATAAACTAATTTTGACACTCCAATGACTTCCAGCATCTTCCATAAAGAAACGATTGTGGTAGCCTCGACATTTCATACGTCGCCTGCAGGCTCAACAATCTCTGGTCTACGGCTCAAATCTTGTTTTTCAGACTGAAGCTACATGCAGATGTAGAGTCAAACTACATGCATGTTGTCTATTTGACAAATCCGGAGTACACCACATGCATATAGTCCACTACGAACTCGCCAGGAAAGTGAAAAAAAATTCCAAAAGCAAGAGAATTGACTGTCCCTTTATTCCACAGGAGGGTGTCTCCTTGTATTCTGCTCGCCTTGCTCTTTTATCTCCATAGGACTGTTGTGTCCTTTGAGTCCCTTTCATTTCCGTAGGAAACCCGCGGCTGTGACCGTTTCCCTTCGACACCAACTCCCCCTTATGCTAACACCAGACACACCCGTAGGCCCCATTGAACTGTGCCATGTTCATTATCGCACACCTAGCAACGGTGTCGACAGAGCAGACCCAGGGAAGACTCGGGTGCGCCGGGAGCTTCCACTGGGATCGGTCCACGTGAACCTTACCGATGAAAGCCTGTCCATTTCACGCACAAAAGACTGCAGAAAACAGTTCATGTTTGGCTTTTGCCTACCGAACCACAGCCCCCCTAGCAAAGTCGAGTTGAGTAGCTCTTTTAGTGGCAGGTCGTTAATTTGCAGTTGCAGTGGCCACAAGCTGAATTTTGAGGAATTCAAACAATGACACCCCGTCTGTGTTCCAGGTGATGCCGACGTTGTCCTCCGTCAGAGGCAAAACGTTATAGCACCTTGCTTAATGCAATGTCTCCGACGTCGAGCGACACCTTTTTATTAACTAAAGCAATTGAGCTTTCGGGATGTTCCAGCAGATCGCGGCATTGCGCTTCAATATCTAACACGATGGAGTAGCTTCCCCCTTTTATTAGGTTTGCTGCAACATGCCTCACATCACATGTGGGACATTCGACATCCACGTCAGAGTCACTGAGAGTACCGAGGTATAGGGGGTATTCACGGGATGCCATATTGTTGGACAGTGCATGCTCAGAACTACCTTTTATTTATCGTCTTCCAACAACTGCGATTCTGGTTAAGTGGAATGGACGTTGAACGTGCATTCCTCGCAGGCAGTGAAGTCAAAGCTATGGGTACCCAAGGGGCTGAGGGTGAGCGAGGGTGACCTAAGACGCTGACCTCTGGTCAAAAAGTCATTTTAAAATTACCCGTAAACGCACAGAAAAGACACCCATACAATTATCTTGTAGAATATCATCTTAGAGAAGTTCAGCGAAAATTCGGCTTCGCCGAATCTTCGATTCGACAAAGCCGGTACATAATGCCGAATTTTCGATTCGGCAAAAAGTTCGGCCCATCACTAGTATATTCAGTAATTACTCAACAGCCAGCAGAAGTCAAGTGGCTAAAACTTGCACCTACATTATATTTTTTTCTTATTCTCTAAATATTTTCTACTCGTTCATCTACACAGAAACAACAAAAAAAATGGACCCTACAATGCGGTAGATTCTTGGTCCATCATGCTGGAACACGGCTGCAAAGCAGCGTTCAGCAGTCAAAGAAACCCACCATCTTGAAAACACGAAGAACAAAAAGGGGGACGGCACCAGCTTGCCCGCATGGTCATCAAAGCCACTTCCGACAGTGTGCTCCAAAAAACGAGCACGCTTGGGGAGCGGGGCTTTATTTGCCAGGGGTGCACGCTCCTAAGCGAGGGACGTGCAGAACTGTGCCCAGAGGTGGGAAGACGGCGCCTCCGGCTGTATCCACTGGAGGGGCACGGAAGAGCCCCCCGGGTGATCCGGCGGCACCAGGTACCGGTCCCACGAGTCCCTGCAGTGGGCAACCGTCAATGGCAGAGGCAAGCAGTGTTGCCAAACTGGCAGTCTTCCCGCCAAATTTAGCGGTTTTCCCTCTTGTCTAGCGGACAAAATTGACATTTTGTGGTTGGAGGAATTTTTAGAGGTTTTCTAGCCACGTTAGCGAGCTTTCTGGTGGTCTAAAATGTTCTCCGGTTTACACTTGTCAATCGTAAATGGCTTAATTTCTATGGTAAGTTAGTCACAGGGTCGTTATTTTTACTTCCTCTCGCCAAAATTGCTGTCGGGAGAGTAACGCTCCCAACCACATTGGGATATCACGGGGGCAAGCATCAAAACGTGGCGTTAAAACGGTCATTCTTGGCCTGCACCTCGAATTTAGCGGTCCGTCGGGATTCCTTTAGCGGGTTTTTGAGTTGTAAACACTGGAGGCAACAGCTTGAGTGGCAGCCCTCTCTAAGGCCTCGTTTGCTTCTGGGAAGAAAGCTTGCAACCCCTTGGTTCCGGCAACTCTGGGTCCCAGAAAACACTCCCAAGCAACCTGGGGGAGCTCCTTCCTCCGTGTTTACTCTTTAGAAACTCCGGTTTCGGTGCAATTTCAGTGAAAGCTGAACCACACATCGAGCCAAACATGTCCCCACTATTCCTTCCGGCACGAACGCTAGCAAACTTTACGAAACACTTGACCTCAGAATAAGCTCGGATGTCACTCGTAGTCGACGGTTTACCGAGACCGAAAAGTCTGAGAGTGCACATAGAAGTTTTTTGTGCATGAAGAAGTTTTAAAAACTTTGATATTAGACCTTATCTAGCTTGACAAGCTGCACGTGCCAAACCAGGTAAGGAGTGAACCGGGTTTTTTCGGCGACGTCAGTAAGAAGAAAAGTTGACACTACCGGGCCAAAGAATCGATGCACAACTAGTATGGTCCATTCACCCCTAGGCTGACAGTGCAGTGGGAGCTGCGCGCAATCAACTGCCTCCCTCTCGTCACCTGACTCCGCTCTCTGCCCATGGCGGAAGATAGACCGCACAACTGGTGGCGTCCACCGTCGGCATGGGGCTGACCAGAGTGCAGTCTACTTTCCACGCTTTTCTCACCTGACCCTCACAAGCGACTCGAGGTTCTCAGATGCTGAGGTGTAGAGCTGCCAACAGGGATACAGCGCCGGCTCCACAGCTGAAAAAAAGGCACATAGATGCACTCGTGACTATGCAAGACGCCAGTCCTGAAAAGAGCAGGATGCGGCTCTGCGAACAACGCACTTGCAGTGTGAAACGTCGAACGTTGGCAGCGATAGTGCTACAAGACCTCTACGAGACTGAGAAAAATTGTTCTGCTCATTGGTTGTAGTAGCATACGCACGATGCACTTCCCTAACGTCTAACTGCGAAGATTGTCAGTTTGGGTGGCTGGCGGCGGCTTAACCCGCCCCACCGGGTGATTGCGGCGTAGAAAGCTGGATCCAGCGGGCAGACGTACCGGCATTGCCAAAGAGGTTCTCGATGACTGCCGCCTGCCTGACGGCCAGTTTCTTGGTCTCGTACTGCTCCTTCTGTTCGGTCTCGAGCATGACCTTGAGCGCAGTTTCTTCTTTCAGGTAGTTGGACAGCTCCCCTTCCAGGAGGGAGCGCACTGATGCCGTCTCAGTCTCGAAGGTGGCATCTGCTTCTGGTGCCACGTAAAGACCTGCAAAAAATTGGAGACTCTGAATACGAGGTTGCCAGTTACGTGGGGCATTTTTGAGTCGAGGATAAGCGAACGTGAGGGTCTTGCGAGGCATACGAGCACGTTTCAAGATTTCACGAGCCACAAAAGCTTTTTCTTTTCGGGACAGGCAGACTAGGCTGCGGGCCAATAGGAGCTTTCAATAAGACTGCAATAGACAGGCTCGAGACAACCCGCCAACCGTAGCTTGCCTCAGGACCTGCGAAGCATCCGAGTACATCAAAATATGGGATTCAACTCTGCACTGTCGCGCCTTTCTTACTACCTTAAGTTGACATAAAAAGTATGTAAAAAATTGCGCTTGCCCAAACCAAAAAAAAAAATAGCTCGAAGTACAATATTTTATTCTAGAATACTTGTTCCTGTTTCGTTTGACGAAAAAAAAATTGTCAAACGGTCAAAACAGCTGGGTTTGGTGTCTGTGTATCGCAGTTTCGGTTGTGACTCCGCCGGGGCAGCCTTTCACGCAGAACCAGCGCAATGTGGCCGTCATTCATAAAAGTCCACTGCGCGTTCTCTTCGACCTCACACAGTTTAAAAAAATTTGAGGTCGCTGAAAGGGCACTAAAAGAACTTCGAACACGATACTTCAAACACAATACTCTAAAGGCGTCGGAGAAGCTTGACTCGCAGGACGGCTGAATATTTGACGTCACTGCACTGGCGCGGATCGCATGGGAACTTCAAATTTGACATTTGGAAATTGTTTTTTTCCTTCACAAATACTGAATTCCCAAATTTCGAATTTTGAGGGTAATGTCCAGGCATCGTTTTCAATCATTTCGGATAATAATAAAAAATTAGAATATTTTGACGTGTCAGTGCCCTTTTAAGAATAAATATGCACAGAAAAGGAAAGTCAGAAACGTCAATCTGAGTAGAAAGAAATCTGCCACACATCTTCAAGACCAACCCCGGTTTAAGGAAAGAACTTGAGAACATTTTTCCGAAAGTACCCTTCTGCTGATAGGAGAGCTTCCGAGCCGCGCGCAGCTGTTCCATCGCACGGATCTTCTCCAGGTACTCTCGTGTGCGGTTGATCTTGAATCGGATCTCGCTCAGGATGGAGTCTGCCTCTTCCTTCATGTTCTCTTCCTGCAAGTGCACGTGTGACGAAAACCGTACACCGCGTCAACGCCAGTGAACGGCACAATAGAACGCGGAGGTGCTGGGTTGCAACGGACCTGCCGTTCCTGGTTGACCTTGTCGAGGATCCGTTGACGATGCGCGTTGATCCGTGCCTCGGTAAGAGCCGCACGTTTGGCGCGGTCTTCCGCCTCATCCTTGCGCTCTTGCCGCAGCCTTCTAAGTCGCTCCTGCATTCAAGAAACGTCAACCCGGCACTTTGGTCGCCCACCAAGACGTGGGAGGGACTCAGAACAGCCGCAACTAACCCTCTTCTTCCGCCGCCGCTCGCTCCGAACACGAAGATTGGCCAGAACCTCGTCCTTGGACAGCTCTTCACAGTAGGTCCTTAGTTTGGCCTACGAGACAAGACGGCAGGTTGCGACAAAAGCGGAGGCAGCAAGTTTAAACCCATCTCGTACATCTCGGTGTATAACGAAACAACGGGAGGTATGGATTGTCAGAACCGATTCCCGAGCTGACCTTGCACACTTTGACCCGATGCATCAGTTCCGTCCATTGCTCTTCGCTCCCGTCTCGTACAGAGCTCTCGGCAGCCGACTGAAGTCCTTTCAGCACCTCCAACGCCAGGACGGCTTCTTTTAATGTGTCGGACGGCTGAAACAAGCATAGAAAGAGCGGTGTAACACCTTCCAAAAGGGGCGGTGCATGTGCTATGACTGCTAAAGTGTAGTCACGCTCGCAGTTAACTGCACCAGCTCTAGAGGGTTCAATTAAATAAGCAAACTGCTTTTCTCAGTTGCATAGTCTTAGCTAGGGCCCATGGGATTTAGTTCTGCTAGGTCTCGCCTGTTAACCTCTCTGGTGAGGCACCACGGACCTCGGGTACGGGTCAATGGCCTTTCTGTGGTGCCGACTCGAATAAAGATATCATTACCGCGCCTAGACCACCCCAACAAAGTAACCCCAATATTTGCACACACTAACCTATACAAATACCTTCCTCTTAACCTTGTTGTATCTGAATGGAACGCCTTACTGTGTAACATTGCGGCGACACAGGATTATCAGACTTTCTTAAATTTCCCAATTCCCTTTATCTCCCAAAAAGCGTAGTCATTTTTGTTCCTCGTCATAGCTAAGCCAGGGACATGTAGTATGTAGTGGGACGTTTTCTCTTTTTTATTGAATCTGTATGATATTACCATTGGAAAGCATCAATTGAATTCTGTAAGAATACATTAACTACTTTTCTGTGTGTTGCGGCTTCTTTTTTTGTGCGTTTTGTCCGTCACTATTGTCAACGTGTCTTTTCTTTGTATGAATTCCCCCCTATGTAATAATGCCCGAAAGGGCCCTTAGGGTAAGTGGATAAATAAATTATTATTATTATTATTATGCGGGACAGTTACTAAGATCTGGTGGTGTTGTCGACTACCCCTAGAGTGTGTGCTACAGGATCCAAGGATGGATCGTGTTCCCACTGAACTCGTGGTGACGGCAACCATAGAGATGCAGTCCTTACAGAGGAAGTCGGGGCCGATTCAGTTTTGATCTTCTGAACTCGCTTCTGTGCGTCGTAAGCGCAGACTTTCGCTCGCAACCACTCGGGTAATTCACTTAGCAGTGCATCCCCCTTTGGCTCCGACTTGACTCGAGCCACATTTAAATCCGGAGGTGGCGGCTCGGTGTCCCGCCGATTCTTGACCCAGGGTTCCATCGGCGGTCTCGGGTGCCAAGGCTGAGAAGGCATCTGTTGCGCACTCGGGTTGTACGCAAACGGCGGCTGTGGAGTCGTCGGTAACTGCGGCGATGGCGCTTGGTAGTTGGTTGGAGGTGCATACAAAGGTTGCTGTGGGAAAGGTGGTGGGACGGTGCAGTTGAAAGGTGGGTACTGCATCTGCAAGTTCGGGGACCATTGCTGGTAACACTGGGCCGTGTTCGGAGGGGGAGCGTTCAGCGGGTTGAGCAAGCTTTGCCCGGGGATCGGCTGCCGCTGCTGGTAGGCATTCCAAGAGAATGACATGGCCGCTGAAAAAAAAAAAAGAAAAAGAATGGTGGTTGATTTTAAGGAAAACGCGAGTAATGTGTAAAGTTTCTGGGTATAGTATAGTTTCTGGGCACGAGTGACACAAAAATGGGTATAATGGGTATAGTGTCTGAATTCATCACATAAATTACACTAGGGGTTTTATGTGGCAAGCCAACGAAGGCAAATAAAGGAAGGGCATCTTGCACGCCCCAGCGGAGGACTGAGGTTTAATTTCGGTCACCTTGGGACAACACATAAAGGTGGTATACATCGCGAAAGTGTCGAGCCTTTTTTTTTGCTGCGTTTTTTGAGATGTTGTTGCATACAACGCATATCTACATACAGCCTGCGACAATATTAGCGCAAACACTCGATGACAAGTCTCTTTTCGTCGGTGGCACTTTATGAGCGCTTTTAGAAAAATAATGGAGGAGCGTGCGGTTTAAATAAATTCCTCTTTTGCTGGACGATGAAGGTTTGACGATGGGTGATCGAATGTTCGCGCAAGACGCTCGGATTTCTCCACACGTTTCACCGAGTGGACTCGGAGCGCCGTTTGTGCCTGCTTTACGCGACTCGCCACGTTAACAAGTACTTCAATTATCGTTGCTAGTTGCGCTCAGACACTTGAGGGAAATGAGAAAGTTGATACGAACCAATCTTTCGCTGTAAACGCGCACTTCGCACATGCAGGAATCGCCGCTGAAAAACAAACACACAACGGATGGACAAATGAACTGGGCTGAAGCCGTTTATTCGGGCGGCGGCTCGCGCTATCTATACTTCGTTTCAGCTTCGGTCCAGACGCAGCCAAAGCTACAAGCGCGAGCTCCGGAAGAGCTCAGCTCGTGTCGATTTCAGGGTTGCCAGGTAGGTTTAGCTCAAACCGCCAAAATGCTAAACGGTGTAGCCCAAAAGTAGCCAAATGCAAAAAAATTGTATAGCCAAAAAGTAGCCAAAATCCAGCTGAGTGTCAGGGTCCACAAAATTCAAAATTATGCTCTCGCAAGTAGGAACTGGAGCCGGAACTGCCTCTGCATATATTGTGTAGATGAAGCTTCCAAGAACAGCAACATCTTGAAATGTATATGAAACATTTTATTGGAAAAACACACACAAAAAAGTATCGGCATTTTTAAGTATTGACACACGTTTGTACAGTCACATAGAGTTAACAATCGCTCGTGCAGGGCTGGCTGACCTCATACATCAGTTACGAGTTGAAGCGCACAAAAAATTCTTCTGTGGGCTTGAAGTCCTTGCAGCACTCTTTCTTCCCAAGGAATGCGAACTTCACAAACAGGATGCTTTCCAGGGTCGAATGGGACAATCTGTTTCTGAGGTCCGACTTCGTGAGGGACACCTAACTAAGCACCCTCTCAACGGCGGCATTTGACATGGGTAGTCTCAAAAGCGCGGTGCCAAGCGCAGAGAGAACGGGAACATGGCTGCCCCGGAGCTGTTTCTTGCCTCCCTTACATTTTTCCAAAATAGCTCTAAACAATCATCAGACAGATCTCTGATATTCGTCTGGAGAAGCCTGTACTCGGACTCCATGGCCGAGATCACCGAAGTCTGTATAAAAGGCGAAAACGCTTTGTAAAAACTGTCAAAAGAAAACTGTGTGATGCTGCCATGCTTGAGAAACAACAAATCGTTGAGAAGCTGCATGTTCGCAGGGAGGCGTTTCATCACACTTTTGATACACGCAATCACAAACCTCCGACATACTTCCAAGAGCGCGATTCTGTCCTTCTCGCAAAGCGAGGACTGTTCAGGAGTATTCAGAAAAACACTTCCGGAGCCACATGCACGTACATGAAGCACATTCGTTTCCCAGTCCGCGCATTCGGGTGATGCGTAATTCGGCATGATTACTCGTTTCATCAATATCGAAGAGTTGCCCTTGCACGGCTTTGACCTAGATGTAGCCTCCCAATCCACCTCTTTCCTAGGAAATGGTAGGGTGATGAAAAGAAAGGTCAGGGAGGAGGATGCAGGGGCAAGGTCCTTCTTTGTGTGAACTTGGAGGCATAAGATAAGCGACAATGAATACAGAAGCGATGCCATTAGAACTGAATCTAGGTCAAAGCCGTGGTCCTGACGTCATGCCTACGCATCTTCACAGAAAACCTTGAAAGCAGGAATCCGTAAAAAATGGACTGTTGATTTGTGTCCATCCTAAAGTGTCTTTTATCTCTCTACCCTAAAGCAAGCACAAGAAAAATAAATAATAGAGACCTCTGTGTCTTCGTGTCCCCTTATTTTGCCCGCAGTCTCAATGTTTGTCATGTTGAATTATTTTTCTCCGCCATGATTTGAAATAGCCCAAAAATAGCCACATAGCCAACCGCCACATTTTGACGCCAAATAAAAAAAGAAGTAGCCCAATTTGGCTATTAATAGCCCAATCTGGTAACCCTGGTCGATTTCTCTAGCCAAAGATAGACAGTGCTCGTGCTGCTCCTGGTGGTGAAAAAGGGCAGCCTACTTTCTACTTTCCTTTCGTAGTGCAAGATGTCGCTGGCGTAAAAGGAAAGCTAAAAACCGAAAAACGCAACAAACCAAATACTGCCGCAGCAATCTGTTGCAACTGCGAGCTTACGTTTTGACTTTCAGTAGATTAAATGTTGATCTAATCGGTGATAGGAAGGCAAGAATTCGTGGAGATCACACAAGCTAGATGGGAAAGGTTTCCCCATGCCGGTAGACGGTCTTTTCTCCCCGTCGGCTCCCCGGAGATTCCGGTGATGTGAGCGGTGTCATATGCTCCTTGAACCCGTCGATTGGGTAACGCCAGTAACACGACAATAGGTGCGTACAAATTTCGACAACATTTTATTATCCCGGGTCTGCGTCGAGACGTTCCCAGGCCGGCCGGTTTTGGCACGGAATGGAGGTGCAGTGTTGCAACGAGTTGCGAGTGTTCCCGTCTCGACGATCATGTTCGCTTCGTGTATGCCCCTCACTTCGTGGTCATCGTGTTGTCACGCTGCTGAGAATGTTGCCTGCCCTTCTGTTCTAAAATAATAATAATATAAAAGAAGAGTTTGGTGGTTTGGTAAAGAGCAACGCATACCTTTGCGACTCCTTTCACACTTGTCGACCTCCAATCCCTGTTTGATGTCTGGGATGGAATGTGTTCAGCGTTGTTGCGATCTTAACGTCGCAGGTGGTCATTGGGACGAGGTGCTGGGAAGATGGAGAGCGAGTCCTTGGCGGAACGGATCTTGCAAGATCTGGGCAACGTCTTCAAGAAAGAACCCCTCGTGTGAGTGCCGCGTTCTAGAGCCGTGTTTGAACGAAGCGCCCCTGAGGATATCTCGTACGTTGAACCCCTTGCCTACACATTTTTTCTCCAAGAAATACACAGCGAAATTTTATTTTAAACGGACAATTTGCATCAAAATAAGACGAACATTTCCCTCGACTTCCAGGTGTGGCATTTCACTCTAAATCAGGACTTCTGGTCCGAGTGCCACTGACGTGCAGACGCCGAAGTTGACTGAACACTTGCAGAATTCGCATTGCTTTCGGCGCTTCTCTCACTGCCCATCAACGTATCGTCCAATTCCGAAAAATCGGAAAGGCCGAAGGATTCTTCGTCGCATATGCCTGAGCATTATTCACTTCCAAAAGAAAGATTTCGTATCTCTTCATCGGCTAAAGCAAACCTACGCGCGAAAGCCACATTGTTTTAAGGCAAACGCTTACAAGCGACTTTTTTTTTTTTTTTTTCCCTTGGCTGAATGGAGCGTTTTCTCTTTGTCAAAGAGCAAAACAGACGAGCAAAAACCCCAAGGTAAATGGAGCAACGGGGTGGTTTTGCCATCCGCCAGAGAGTGCGCTAAACTGCGGCCGCCGCGCTAAACTGCGGCTGCTGAAAGTGAAAAGGTAGAGCGGCAGACAATGGATGAGAGGAGAGGCATGTAGTAACAGGTGCCCCACTGCGGCGAGACGTTGAAACACACTTGTCCCGAGCGATGGAATGTCTGCTCATGCTCCTCGCGTTCTGCGTGCTACCGCTTCTTTTCCCGTCAGGTTTGAAAACCATGTTTCGGGTCCTCGCCACCGCAAAAGCTGTGCGCTGACTACAGGCTCCCCGAGAAATGCCCTGTGCTACCAGATCTTTGCACTCCAAATCTGCGACCGGGCACTCTATGGCACTGTCGTTGAACTGCCAGGCTTTGTGAGTGTAGAAAAAGCTATGGCTAAATGAGCGCCATAACCAAAACACGAGTCACGCTCGTGGTCGGGCTTTATGGTTCCTAAGGGGTGGTAAGAGTGACGCTCCTTATTGGTAGGGCTAGGGGTTAAGTTTTACGAGTCTAACATTGATGCTGAGCTTACAGCTGTTAGCGGAAGCATTACACGAACCGATCCGGTGCCCGAAATAAATAATCGGAAACAGAAGGATCACTCAAGGTGAGCAGCAGAACCTTTTTCTGTGTTGCAACTTGTTCTGAGGCAATAACCGAGCCAAATAAAGCCTTTGAAGCGGCGAGTCGTGTTTCGGCGGCTGGGCGGGATGTGAAATACGGCCGTTGCTGCGGGATAGTTTTGGCTCGAGCCACCACTACCCTGCGAATCCGAAACGTCCCCATCGATTGTGCATACTTCGTTGATTGCATCCAACTGGCATTCATAGCTCGTCTTATCCGTAACCAATCTGCTATCCATGTAAAGTGGGACATCTGTACCTGTGCCTAACGATTTTATTAAAGGACACATGCAAAGGAAAAAAACATTTTTTTTAAACGGCTTAGATGGAAAAAGGACGCCATAAAACGATTTTACAACGAAGAAAAAAAATTTTTAGAGCTATATTTACGGCGCAAAACGAATTTGTAGTTGGCGCCCGCGGGCACCGCGGAAAAGTGGTCTGTATTTATCACGTGACTGGTCTTTATTTATCACGTGGTGCTTGCGTTCTTTCGGAAGCTTCCTATGGCCTCTAAAAGTAACTTATTCATCTTTGTTTGAAGTATAACAAAAAACTAAGATGAATAAGTATCTTTTAAAGCCCAAAGGAAACTCCTGAAAAAGCGCAAGCAGACGTGATAGACCTGTGCGCCGGCCAGACGACGGCGGCGGCGCCCCGAAGCAGACGAACTTGTGCGGCGGCGGCGACGGCGGCGTGGAGAAACGCGTTGAAGCGGCGTTCGCACAACGCTCAGCGTGCGGCGGCGACGCAGCGCGGCGGCGCGCGACCCTACCACGTGACCAGCGGCGGCTCCCACGAGCGCCAACTACAAATTCGTATAGCGCCGTAAATATAGCTCTAAAAATTTTTTTTCTTCGTTGTAAAATCGTTCTTTGACATCCTTTTTCCATCTAAGCTGTCTAAAAAAAATGTTTTTTTCCTTTGCATGTGTCCTTTAAGGGGATTCTATCTCCTGGTCTGGGAGGGAAATAGTTTAGTAAGTGCAGGTCATGGTAAGATAAATTGAAAATAACGAAGAAAAAAAACTCGCGTTTCTTGGTTTTTGAGCCTGGCACCAGAGTACCGGTTTTTTCCTCGGGTACAACAGTGTATGCGTTTTTTTTTTACGTATTTCAGGAAATTAGACGAATATTTCAAGTCTCCGGAAGCCCTATACCTTATCAATAAATTATTATGTTGGTATCGAAATTCCAACAAAGAAAGCCGCCGACACTGCATGCAAGTTTGTCCGCCGTCTTTACACGACGTCTATTTTTGTGGCCACACCTTTCCGTCGGCGCACTCGAGTTGCCACGTACCTTGTTGAGAACGGCAAGTGCGAAGCGGTAGTCCTCGGCAGCCTCGTTGCCGGCACCCGTGGCGGACAGACGGAACTAGGTCCCCCGTCGACGCCGCTCCCTCGCACCGGACGGAATCGGAGGGCAAACGGAAGTTCCCGCTCCCCCGTGCAGCAAGGAGTTTGACGTGGTTCCGGTGAGCAACTCGTCGTGCAACCGGAGCCCCGTGGTGTGCGTGGACGGCCACCTGGCCCTGGGCTCCTGGTGCGTGCCCCACGTGTATGGCTACGCCTACTCCCGGCTCGTCGAGGCACGCAACAACATTGTGCGCCATGGTGAGCCCCTCCTGCCTTGCCCTACTAAAGGGACTGGGCGTTTGTGGTGTGCACCGGTAAACGTTTGAGCTGCTTTTATACAAATCTGAGGAAACCTAAAAAAACCCGATGGGAGCTCATCCTCCCGAATTTCAAGGAAAATAAACCCGAAAACACAGAACCCTAGTCGCGACTGGGGCTTCACGTTGTCGGTACGTACCGCCAAACTGGCATCCGGACAGGGGTGGAAATGGGGGCGGGCGCAGTCCTACCCTTTAGAACTTTGGCGTATTTCTGGTAAAGAATTGGTGGAGAACAAGAGGGAAATCCCTTTCCCATTTCCCGTTGCGAGGAATGATTCCGGCAACCCTGTTGATAAATCCCGAAAAGGAACCCCCCATCCTGTTTCATCAAAATATGGGAAATCCGAAAAGCCCCGAATTGGTGCTCTCCTCGAAGAAGAAAGGCACTAGCTCGGTGGGAAGAAAACCTTTATTGGCAGCTTTGCATTTGTCAAGATTACAGTCCCCCCCCCAACCCAAGTCTTTCTTCTCCTTTTCTTCTCTTATCGGTACGGAGATGATATCGCTCATGCGCATCTTCCCTGATGGAATCCGACGGACGCGTCCCGTTTTCTTTCCTACAAATTCCTGTAAACGTCCGTTTTTTTGTCGGCACTTACGCCCATTTTCATTTCAAGAAAAAAATGAAGTTTGGCTTAATGTTCATACGGCGTGCAAAGTAGTTCTTACAAGATGTGGTTGTTGGAGGCAGAAGCAATGCTTTTGGCATTTGAAACGTGTACGTCTTGGTAAGGTAGCATATATGTAATCTAAAATGTACCTACATATATCTCAATTCTCAGCATAAAGAGGGAAATTAGTAATGCTCTGCGAGAAGCCATACTTTTTTTACTACGGTTCTTGAGGTGAGAACGAGTATAGAATGAACATTGGAGAACGCCGGGTGTATCTGAATCGAAATAAACCCGAAAACAGGAAACTCTAGCTGGAATGTTGTCAAACATGCCTGTGCTCACGAATGTACGCACCAAGCTGCACAAGCTTCGGGGCTCCGACAATTCTCCATGTTCCCTCCCTCTCTTTCGTTATAATCATATACATAATATCGAGAAAAAAAAAATTACATTTCTAAGTTTGGTGTTGTGGACCTCGTTTAAAACTGCCATGACTGTGCCAATAGGCCTCGCATAATCGCCCTTTTCACAAAGTTATAACCGCGCTTAAAACAAACGATGGATATATGAGCCGGGGATGCTATCCGCCATTCGCTGCGCGATCATGAAGTAACTCCAAGTGTTTAATCTCTTCTTTCGGTTGTTTAGTGTTCTGGGCAAGGAATGAATGTTACCCGGCGACTCCTTTTTCTTGCAGAGAAGGAATCCATCCTTGGCTGGTCCAGGCTGGTGATCCTCGTTAATCCCGACGTGCAGTTGGCATGGAACGTAAGGTGAGGCGGCATTACTACCCGGACAAAGCCCTAACTAACCCATGACTTGCGGTATGACGAGTGTGCTCCGATTGACTTTCCTACCGTACGGCAAAATTCGATCAAATGTGGCGCCACACCGTGAGTCGCCTTTAGTTTTGCGTCTTAGGTCTTTTGCGCTCGATCCTTACAACGAAGAAACTGAAACAATTAAAATTTTTGCCAGTCCTGCAGAGTTGGCTGCGGTTGCGATCCTCTTCCTGCAGTCCACTTGGCTCTAAGCTTGTCCAAGGACTTGTTTGGAAAAATGGATTCTCTCATTTGCACATCACCCCCGATTTACGAACGCGTTTACCTGAAACCAATTTGATTCTGACTTTCGACGTCTCATTGTACTTAATGCATAAAAAAAAGTTGGTTCGAAGATACTTCAAACAGAGAAACATCGGTTGCTCTTGCGAGGCTCCAACTCTGAGGACTTCAATGTTCCGAGGCAGCCGTTTATCGGTATTTTTTTAATCATTCAGAAATACAGAACCGTAATTGTCATCGGGGTCCACTGAGTTATTGACTTTTTATGTCAGCATTGCATCGACGTGTTGAAGGATCAAACCTCATTGGCTGTTTTCTGAACGGACCAAACACCCCTTATAATAGCGCTTAAACAATCGTCTCGTTTATTGTTTGTTTTCTTGGGCCGATCTGCATGTCCACAACGCAGGAGTTGAATCAGTTTGACTGTTCTTTCTTATCCCCGAGGTGTCTGTTGAGCTCCGAAGTAACCATAATTTACTAAGGTTTTGTGCACTGTTCCCCCCATCTGCTGCCACTGCAGGAAAGAGCTGTTCCTGTGCAAGCAGACCAGCTTTCAGGAAGAGCTCCAGTTCTCCCAGCTGGTCCTGACCAGGAAGCCCAAATGCTCCGAAGTGTTCTCGCACCGGTGAGCCTTCGCTCGGCCTGCAGGTGCCACTGGCCCACCCGCTCCTCTTCCTTGGCATGGGCCAGATGCGTCGAACCCACTTCAAATAGTAAATGGCAGGAATTTCGTTTGAATGCAGTAATAATGGGATTTACAAAAAGGGCGTGGCTAGCTGGTGCATTTGCTCTTGCTAAGATATCGGAAGGAAAAGGTTTATACAAAGAGCCAAGGTTTCGTACAAGCCAATGTGGAATTAAGCCTTTTTCACGTCGTTGCGAAACAAAAAAACGGACTGTGGGATTGTTGCTATGAAGAATGGGAGCCAGATCAATTGGACATCCTAATGGGTCGCAGCCTTTCTTTTCACTGTGTAGTGGCTTACATGCGTAATGATCCGTAATGACATTTTTATGTAACTTTTTGTCGATGCGAGGATTTCTTTAGGCCTTCCCGCGAAACAAACTCGTTACCTAATCGCACCTTTCTGGTAATTTATGGGGCATAGCGTGTGAGCATGATTTTGAGGAGTCATTTAAAGGTGGTTCGCTGTGTTTGTTTGATGCTGTGAAACGTGCCATGTGCGCGTGACCACACTAAACAAGCTCTCCTATCGTCTGGCACATTTCCCCGGTCCCGCCGGTCTTGAAGCTGTGCCACCGTGGGCCACAGCGTGGACCCGGTGGCACATTGGCCCCATGAAGGCACACCTTGAGCATAACCGTTTTCTCGACGTGTTCCGCTACAATTAACCATAGAGGTGCCCACTAACTACTCGAAAGTATAAAAATACAAAAGCACCCAAGTCTGAAAATTTTTGTTTTTAAATAAATCTTTTTTTTATAGATGAATGTCCAGCTAAGTTTTATTTTCGCAAAACCCTCGAATGTGTCATAGGCCTGCGGTGTTTTTTATGTGAGAAAAACAGCTGGAGCGAAAAGGAATGAAAACCTGACATTTTCTTCATTTTTCCAAGAGAAACACCACAGTGGCCTACTATGTCATTTGTTGGATTCAAACATTTCCTACAAGAAACTTAAACATTTTTTTTTATTATTATTTATTTAGGAAGAATGCAGCACTTAGCAGGGCACCTGCATGCCAAATTGCATCCCAATCTGCTTGGAAACCGATTCCTACAGTGCCTTCAAGAAGGGCCAATGGTGCATCAGCCCCTTTTTGAAGGGGCCCACGGCGCGTTGGGTCCCCCTTGCCAAAGAAATGGGTCCAAAGATTCTGAATTGAAATCCGCTCGGTTGGTTTGGACAGACGGTGGCTGATGGAGCACAACCTGCGGGGGTTCTCGAGCGACCGTGCCAACGTGATCCTGCAGGAAGAGCTGAAGGTGTGCCTCCAGGCGGCCGACAGGTATCGCTGCAACTACTATGCCTGGACGTACCGCATCTGGCTCATGGACCGCTTCGTTCACGGGAATCCCCTGGTGAGAGTGCCTACACCCACACTCCTTGGCCAGGCCTGCCAGGGTCCGTACCAGTGTGTCCGCTTAGCGTGAGGCTTTGGTTTCTCGGCAACAGCCTTCAGAAGGATGCATGCAACTATTTTTGAGCCTGTCGGGGATCACTTGGAAATAGTTGGCTAAAAGTAACCTTAACAACATCAAGGTTTCATAGGTGGAAATATTATGTGAACATGTTTTCTGTTCAATTATGTTGCATGCTTTCGGCTAAGTAAAGGTATAATCCAGTCACTTTACTTTCCATATTTGCTTTAACCCTTTTCCTACCGTAATAATTTTGAAAAAAAAAAAAAAAAGATCCAAATAGATCGAATTTTATAGTTATAGTAGCGTAAACATGTATATACTGTCGAGACTGGTTAGAACGAAATAGCGGCTACAGCGAAGCAATCTTGATTTCCCGTTCCCTTTTGCACTTCGTTATAACGAGATAGCGGATATAGCGAAGTGATTTCCGATTCCCGTTGACTTCGTTATAACCGATCTCGAGAGGATAGCGTGAACGTAGAAATGTAGTAGCGTAAACAACCTGCGTAACCTGCCACGTCGACGTTCACTGCCTGGCGCAGCGCTGAAGTGCAAAAACGCAGAGGTGCTAGAGAAGGTTTCTCTACTTCGTCCAATGACTACATGCCGACACAATGTCTTTATCAGAAACCGAGTCGCCAGAGCTAAAGTCAAACAGCTCAGTGTCCTCACTATCACTGTCCATTGAAAGACGTCGTAACATCTTCGTTTTTCCTGCATTTTTGTTGCACATTTGTGACGAGGGACATTGCTTCCAGAAGTGGATGCCGCCATTTTTAAAGCCTTTGTTACCAGTGTCGTAACGGTTTTCGGCCATATTTAGAAATGTTCTGCATTTTTTGTGCCATCTTTTGAAGGCACGCAACACTAAACACACGTCGACTAGTTCAGTTTGTCCTTGATAAGGGAGATGCGTTTTATTCAGCATGGACGAGCCCAGCTTGTTTTCAGAGGAGCGGTACAAACGGTGTCGACGAACCCGGCTCTTCCATGGTAGGGAAAGGGTTAAAGGGGTACTCCAGCCGTTTCTTGAGCTACCCATACAAATCTCATTTTCTGAATACCCGTCTGCCTGTCTTTGTCTGCCTGGCATTCGCTTCCAGAGTGTGTCATTTGTGAGTGAGCTAACTTTGGTAGCAGCAGGCATTCCTCGACAGATAAACTGCTGAGAACTAAGAGACAACGGATACTAAAGAAGAGCGGTAAACTAGCAGTCTGATTTGAAGTGGTATATACTGTCAATAAAGCACTGCTCAAGATAACACAATGTTACGTCACCGGGCCGGACCAATTGTTACTCCCGTTTTCGGTTTCAACCAGTAAGATTGCTCATACCACATTGTTTGCATTTTTTCTGTTTGGATTTATGCAATTGTTCTGGCCATTTATCCTTTTAAACTTGGTAAGCTGCTACAGGCTAAATCTATAGTAAATGGCACTTCCAATGAAGGTTGGATGTTCTTGCTATGTTAAACGAGCACACAGCAGCCCTAAATAAAAAATTGACTGCATGTTTCGTTGTTCTGCTAAACGCGTTTAAATGCGGTTGTTTTATAGGGGGGGGGGGAGTGTTCCTAGTTTAGATGGTGTCTCGGGCAGGATGACCCTTAGCTAGGCTTTCAGTGCCTGGGGTGGGTGGTGCTCCTAGTTAAGGTGGTGGCTAGGGCAGGATTTTGTATGGAAACAGATTACATCACACCACTGTCTCTTTGTGACGCTGCACGCGCTTTTCTTCAGTGCCACCCCGGATACAAAGCCCTTGCGCTAAATTTTCTGGGTTGCCAAAGAGGGAGAGTGCACTTTCCGGACCTTTCCACTCCACGTTGCGTGCTCTTTCTATGGCACCTGTTTCTGCTCCTATCTTTCTTGCCCTTTTCGCACCTCTCCGCTCCTCTCGCTTCCACACACCATCTGGTTCTGCTCCTGTCGTTCCTGCCTGCTGGGCACTTAGCTCAGTCAGCAGTGCAATTGACTTTCACGCCAGCGACCGGGGTTGGATCCCTGGCACCGGTTGCAGTTTTTTTTCGAGATTGATTAGTGGTTATGGACTGACCGACCTACACATCTCGTGCCTACACGGCTCCTGAAGTTGGTCGGCTCCGTAAGGCTACCGCTTTCAAAGTAAAATTTTTGCTCCCTGCTGCTCAGAAGAGCTGCCGGCATACCGAAAATAATTTTTCATGAGATAAATTTTTTCTTTAATGTTTTCAACATTAACGTTCTGAAGTCCTTCTTTGAAAATAAATAAACATAAATATAGCTTCTTTTCTCTTTTCTTTTACTGAAAATTTGAAATTTCGAGATCAAATTCCCCTTTAAGAGAGCCAAGTATTACGAAACTCCCTTTCAAAAGGTACCGGAGAACCTCAGTAAAAATTGGCAAGAATCTTCTAGTTTGTAGGAACCTCCTTAATAAAGTGTGTGTCGAAAGTAGAAACGGGAAAAAGAGAAGAGCGAGGAGGGCTCAATGTCCCTAAAAAAATAGCGAGAACCTCTCTTGTTTAGTCATCACTACTTCTCGGCATAGAGGGGCTTTACACCGTAGCCGTTGGCATTGCCGCCTCGGATCATTGCTGCCGCGCCGAGGTAGCAGACGCGCCCATCGGCTCACCCTCCCCGTCCTCACCGTAGATGCTGGAGTCGGAGATGCAGCAGACGCGAGACTGGGTCCGCAGCCACGTGTCGGACTGCAGCGGCTTCCACTACCGGCAGTACCTGTTGCGGCGCGTGGGCAGCGTGCCCCTGCTGTCCCGGGAGCTGTCCCTCTGCGAGGAGCTCTGCCTCCTGCACCCGGGCCACGAGGCCATCTGGGCCCACCGCAGGTTCTGCCTCTGGCACCTGCACCCGCTGCCCTCCAGCAACGGGGTGGGCGAGACCCAGGCCAAGAGGGCCCGCAACTCTGCCAGCAGCCACTGGACTCCCAGGGACGAGGAGGCCTTCCTCGCCAGTGCAAAGGGGTGCGGCGAGTGGCAGGATGCACTGGTTGCACGCCACGCGCGGTGGTTGCGCGACGTGCTCGGGTGGACGGCGAGCGGCACGCCGTGACTCGCCGCAGTCGTGGCCCCGGTCGTGGTTTCGTCGCGTCGTGGACGTCGCGAAGAAGAGCGTCGGGAAGGAACGGTGAACCTGGCACTTGCAGTACTCGGTATGATACTACTTTAGGGTTTCAGAGGCCCTGTGTCTTTCGGTACCTTCTGGAACCTTGCACTGTCGACTTTGACAGTTGGCTTTCGGTACGAGCCGGTGAAAATACCAAGATACCGCTTTAGTAGTCGGTGCCTTTTGTGCCTGTTACTTGGCAGACTGGGTACCTGTGGTACTTTTCGCTTGCACAAAGGTTCATTATATTATTCTCAAGGTATGTCTTCTTGGAAGCAATGTATCGCAAGACGGGCAGACGAGCGCCGGTTGTTCTGACCCTTTAGCAGATGTTTGTTTCTTTGCTGTGAGTGTGACAGCTCGATGATGTGGTAGGTAAACACAAAGTGTGTGCCGGTTACGCTGAGTACATTGTTTAAATTATTCGACCTTGGCATGACTTTGTTGCTGCCTTGGCAGCTCGATAGTATCGGGGATGGAGACCTATTGTCTGTTCCCAAAACTTTCTCGGTCATGTGCCATAATTTTAGCGTGACCTAGTCTCGGTAACGCTTTCTGATTTGAGCAGATGGCAGACAGATATGTATCACTGGACCAGCTGCGAGCATCCCTTGGTGACAGTGTCTTCGTGCTATGACCTTGTGATCTCGTCACGTTGTTGGCAACTTCATCCTTCGGTGGGACAGCTAGATGGAGCCAAGGGTGCAGGACGTCCTTTCCAAATAGGCTTTATGACGCTAGTTCAGGATGGCTATGCTGCAGTCTTGTGTTACCCTTGGTTTTTGAACTGAATAGACCAAAAGCTTCTGTTGCGCACCATTTCCAATCAAATAGGCCCTGACCTACCTTGCCCTTGGAAGTTTTCTTTTACTTTCTGAGCAGATATGATAGTTGCCAGCATGCTACATGCCGATTTTTGTCTCTTTTGTAAGGCCACCTTGAACCGTCATCTCTGAAACAAACTTACCTTAAGTTATTTTTAAAGTCTGTAGAGATCTGCACTGGATTACAGTGGATCGAAAGGTGCAGTTTTAATAAGGAACACTCAAAGTTAGTGTCTTGTTAATCATTCTTTCATTGTACCAAAGCCACCTCAAGCAGAACAGCAAGAAGGTACACCGAGCGCATGGTACTAGCAGCATCTAGCACTTGCAGACCTCGTCGGCTCTGCAGCACATGGAGTGCAGCACATGGTGCCTGTGTTACGTGGTACTTGTAATGTCTGACAGATATAGGATGTGGTGGTGACAGAAGAGATTCTCGCAGAGAGGCATTCGATTTCCCGTGGACAAGTTGCAAGGCCGTTCCCAACCCTGTGATTTTGTGTCAAGAGTGACTGCATTCTGGAAGCTCAGTGTGTTTCACTGCACTGCCGAGTGGACTTGTGACCGCTCATGGGTGGTGCTGCCTGGTGCTTGTGCATTCTTCGCTTCACTTGCCATGAACGAGGGAACAAAAAAAAACACTCTCCTTTGTCAAGCAGCAGTGACGGCAACTGAAAAGTGCCGTGAAAGTTGGCAGGAGACCCCCCTGCAAGGGAAAGGTACTTTTGCTGAGGTTTCAGTGTGTCTTTCTGACCTTGAGGTCATCTATTCCATGGGTGTTGCTTGTGTGGATGGAGGAAGCATTCTCTTCTCAGTCTAGAGAATTGTGTGTTGTTCATTTTTAATTTAGGCTTTTAATCATTTCATCCAATGACCTCGCTAAAGGCTTTGGTTTTAAATTAATGCATCTTTTTATATCAAAGCTTTTTTTTTTTTTTCGTAATCATTTGTGAAAATGTTTGTTCCATCACCATACACACCTGGAAACTGTAGTCATTTCAAATGTGATGAATATTGTGATGATATTGTTGCATGCTCTTTAAGTCCCACAGCCGATCGATCAAATATTGTGGTTTAAAACTGTTGTTGCTAATGTTTTAGCATTAGCTCTAGACAGCTAGTCTGCTAGGTCCCGACATAAGTGTGTTTTGACCGCGAGGATTGAATTTGTGCTCAAGAATGGTTTATCTTAACGAGTGTTATTTGCAAAGCTCCAAATGGATTTTGGTAAGATACAAATAGTCTATTTTCATGGAAGAGTTAGTGCCATCCCTAGGACACTTGTACCGCCTCTGTGTGGTTCGGCAAGGACACACAAAACAACCAATGCTTAAAACCGTCACTGGCGAAGCAATACAGTAGTTGTAGTAAAAGCGTAAGAAAAAGCATAGAGTACAAACTCCAAGTGCACCTGTTCGTTGCTGTTTTTAGCTGTATATTTTGGCTTAAGACGAAAAAAAAAAAAAAGAAGGACCATTGTGTTTTTGGAAAATATGCCTGGCACCGTGTTATTTCTCTAAAATAATTGTATCGACTCTCTCGGAAGCCTGGAAAACAACATTCCGTTGGCTGCAACAAGTATGTCATGGTGACGTCCACGACATACAAAAACCACTAGTTCCTGCTCATTTCTGTCACGAATAACATTGATATAGTATTGTTCTTTTGTAGTTTCATGGCTGCTATCGAATGCGGTGATATATTGTGGAGATAACTGAAATGTTGCGTTTCAGGAAAATATTGGTAGGTTTGTCTCTGGGCTTGAGCATTCAAGCCCTAGTTACGGGGCTTCTGAACTTTAGTTCCCATTAAAAGAAGCTCGATGCAACGCCGTTTACTGAAACAGGTGTTCGCATGAATCAATCAGAGGCCAGTCTTCGATGTAATCACTCTCTTCAAGAAATGTCTTGATTATGCAACCAAAGGTTTGTATTGGAACGTAATAAAGCTCGGGCACTCTTTCTCATATCTTGTGCCTGCTAGACTCGGCAGGAAGAGCTTTACGGTGCCCTCCAAGTGGCTTTAAGGAGAACCATGCCCTCTAATAGGCTTTTTTCAGAACCTCATTAGGCAACATTGACGGTCGCCATTGCTTGGGCGACTTGGGCTAGGTGGCGCAAGCTACCACCCGTTACAAAGGTATAGCCATTAACATCCATCTATGGGCACAAAAAAAACATGACTGGAACAAGCCCTCACCTAATGCTCAAGCAGCACTCGTTTTCAATGCGAGCTGAGAGGAGGCCCTGCCGAATCAGGACGCGGCTATCGTGTCTAAACACGACTCAAATAATTGGCACTGCAGCTAGTAGGTGGCACGCACGTTAGAGGAGGGTCTACAACACGAGTCACAAAGGTATCATTTTCTGTTTTGAGGCAGTTTGAAGGGACTGCATAGATCGGTTTCTGAATGTATGCGGGGCACAAGTTTGTCTGCTACTTTCACAAGGGTTATGGTGACGTCAGAACGCCAAGCTCGGATTGGCTCTGATTGAAGAATAGTGGGAAGACCTCAAAGTAAGCTGCCTTGAGGTCTACCCACAATCCTTCCATCGGGGCCAATCGTAGCTCGGCGTTCTGACGTCACCACAACCCCTGCAAAAGTAGCAGACAAACTTGTGCCCGGCATAGAGCCAAGATTTCGTAGAGGTGGCCAGAAAACATGCGTGAAGGTTATCAAATTTCCCCTGAAACAAAGTTGCCCGAATAACAATTTTAAAATCAAAAACGAGAAATTTCTGCCTGCGGGGTCTGTCCGCTAGAGGGGTATCCACAAGGGGGATGCTTTACAGGGAGAGATGTGCGTGCTCTAGCAATCGCAAGGGGCATTCACGCGGGAGAGAAATCCCTCCCTTTGCTGCCCGAAATGTGCCTCACAGGGTGACCACGTCGCTCTCGCATGGAGCCACGCCGACGGAGACATCCCAGGGGTATGGGGGTGCTTTCGCTCAGGCTGCACAAACACTCCCCACCTTAGCTTGGGATCTTTTGCAATTGGCAGTATTTTGTTTGCGTGTCTGGCAACTTTACAGATTTTGCTCGGCGAGATACCGGTGGTTGCATCGGGATCGCTTAACTTGTGGCTTGCGCTGTTGCGCATGTCGTCTGAGGCACCCGAAGGAATCTTGTATATTCATCAATGCCGTCCTCAAGCTGCTCCTCATACACCTGGATTTTCAATTCCACGTCCTTTGTGCAGCATCCAACCTTTCAAGAAGCATCTGCTTTCTTTTAACAGGAGGCAATTCGGCGTCTTCTGCACCTAACAATCGCCGTGCATCACCGTTTCATGTATGCCTCCCAAGGAGGTTAGAAGTACTAGGAGGGGGCACGTTGCAATATTGGTGAGGCCTAGTCATAAAAGGTTTAAACGATGTTGTGGCCAACGTGACCGTAGATTTCTCTGGCGATTGGTGCGCGTGACATGTTGCGTGTAAGATGGATGGTTGACCTTAGGTCTCCTTGCAGGGTTGCGAGCGCTCCGTCCTCTAGCTTTTATCAGAGCGAAGGCTAGACTGGTGGTGAATTCTAGTACCCCCGTAGCTAGCCTTCGTCTAGCTACGGTTACGTGATATGGTCACGTTGGCCTGGTAAGTGAGGAGGAAAATGAGGAAGAGGCGAGGCATCGAGGAAGCATGGCTTGTGGAGGCTATGCGGCTGGCTTCATGCCCTCTCCTACCCTTCTATCCTCCTTGATGCCTCCACTTTTCAACTCTTGTCAGCGCACACCGAACCACTATTGTCGAGAGTATGACCGCTAGATGCGTCTGATAACACTGAGCATCCCCCTCAGGAAATGGGCGAATGGAAAGGGAAAGAATTGCGGTAAGAGGAGATTGGGAAGATTGATGGAAAAGATCTAGGGAGGGTATTAAAAATACAGATAAAAATAAGCAATGGAATCACTTTAAAAGTGGGGAAGGGGGAGGGGGGTAGTGTTATAACAAAACTTATACAAATTTAAAGAAAAGGTGGACGAAGAAATGCTAGACTAGGTGGCGCAAGATGCCGCTCATTACTAGAGTGCCTTCATACACACGCGCGCTTTTGCTTGAGTGGTGACATCTCGGCCATCTTTCCACCCAATCGTTTTTTTATGCATTTTAAAGTGCGCGCAATAAGGTGTCACTCAGCTCGAGCGCGTAGCTTTGGCGAATGCATAGACGCCATTTTACCGCCCAAGTCATGCACCAAGTGCGCGAGAGCGTCACGCGCTGGCACATTCAGGGCAACAATGAATGTCTTCACCCTGAGACAAACAGACATGTAGGCACCCTACTCATTACAATGGGAATAGGAGGTATTCACTGGACGCCATATTTGAGGGCGATATTTAGAGCGCATGCTCAGAACGAGCTCACATTAATGGCCTGCTAAGACCGGCAATCTTGATGGTGCTAAATGCACGCTCCAAAAGGACTGCCGAAGCTCGCCGTCAGCACGCGCTCAGCAGCAGCGCACACGGACACGGCCGCCAGTGAATACTCCCTATGCATCCGATGGGGCGCTTCGAGTTCTGGAAGATTGCTGAAGGGGTGTCCAAACAGGACACTACAAAACGCACGACTCCGACAAATCGTGAAATTGAAGCAGGTGCGAAGCGGGCGCGTCCGCTTCAATTTTCACGATTTGTCGGAGTCGTGCGTTTTGTAGTGTCCTATTTGGACACCCCTTGATCGCGCATCGCGACTTGGGCCTTTTTTCTGCGGCACTGCGCTTTTGTAAAATTTTCTACGTGTTCACAACGGCAAGAATTAGCGGTTACGAATAGAAAACTTGTCTACAGCACGCTGCCGCCAGCCCCTGCAACGCTAGCAAACCCGCAAATCGTCTACGAGCAAGATGGCCGTCCGGTGGCGTCACGGCGTCGATTCTTGATCAATATCCAAGCGTGCGAAGGCACAGAGACACAGCACTTCGGCGTGTCAAAAAAGCTTTGAACACGCCGTGAGACCGGCGAAACTTGCTTTCGATGAGCTGTGCCTTGTTCCGGCGGCACTGCCCTTTAGTAAAAATTTCCACGCGTTCTCAACGGCAAGTATCACGGCTCACACAGGATCTTCAAGAACGTCTTCGGCGAATGACGACGAACGAGTAGAAAACGTGCCTTTAGCACGCTGTCGCCGGGCTCTGCAACGCTAGCGGAACGAAAAAAAAAAAAAAAAAATAACCATGCAGGATGGCCGTCTGGTATATGACCTATATGACTGTGACTGCACCTGCACCTACCTCGTTGCGCGCTTTAGAGTATGAGTGGTAGCTTGTGCTACCTAGCGGCGAGCACGTTGGTTATTTTGGGTTTTGGTGGCCAATCTGGCCAATCCGCCATGCGGCCGAATCAAGCAGCCAAGCCAAGCTTAGCGGCAGAAAAGCGCAAAGAATCGTGCGAAAGCGCGCAAACAAACACACAAGCAGAGTACAAGACACGTGATTGGCGTGTCGCGTGCGGCAAGATCGGTAAGTTTGGTTTTCAGAAATTTTACGGAAGCACTGAAAACTTCTGAAAGTAATAGTGTTGTGACTGCTGCAAGGGTGGCATCATGTCCGAACCAACCTTACGTTGTGGATGCACATAACTCGGGGTCTGCGGGACATAACCGAAAGCCCGAAAGTGATTGCGATGTTTTCTAAGTTTCCCTAGAGATCATAAAGTTCTCCAAACGCACGCCTTTTTTTTTTTTTTTTTTTTTTTTAATTATATATATTGACAACTTTACGTTCACGCGCCTGTACTCGGCGTCAACTTTTTTTTATCCAAGCTCGCGTTGCGTCCGCAGCGCTTTATCGCTGTCAAAGCTCCTTGCGCGAACCGATGTCTTCGTTTGAAGCAAGTTTGAAATCTCCTTTGCGAGGGATGCGCGCGTGCGAACGAACGACAGGTGTGTCGAAATCACTTTGTCTCGCAGCAGTGCGGGGATGCAGCACTGTGGAGCCTGCGCTACACTTGACAATATAGCACAAGAAAGACAAGTCAAATAAATGCCTTGCTGACATACTGAAGCTATCGGTGATAATGAAACATGCGCATCTAAATGTTCTAATCAAACTCTGTTCTACCTGGTTTTCCTATCATTTCAGGCGAGCGCAATGTCGCAAGATCTGGATTTGTGGGACCCGTTGAGCGAAGAGTTTAACTCCCCTTCATTCAACTGCTACAATGAAGGCCCTGGTGTCAATCTGCCCCTTGGCGGCTTGCCTTCATTTGCTACGTGGGTCTTCATTCCTCGATTCTCTTGGGAATGGGGACAAATCCCTGAAACATCTGTAGCTCTATGCCAAACTTCTGTTCTGTGCTTGTGTTTCCAGATCTACTTTGGTGGTATAGGGTGTTTGTGCATGACGTCAATCCGCTATTTTGTTGTTGGTTTGTTTGTTCAAAGAAAATTTATGAATTGGAAGGATTACGTCGCAATCGGTTAAGGAGATGTCAGGGTGGTAAGACAAGCTTCTGTGCTCTACGCATTTGAGGGGTCATGTAGATCCTTGGAATGCTTGAGTTTGGCACACGCCAGACAGCTCACAAGAGCAAAATGGTGGACGAAATTACGTCAATGAAAACACCCTATACTGCAGAAATTAACAGGAACACAGTATGTTTATAGTGGTATTCGTTGCATCACTTCAGAAGTTCCAGTCGGCTTATCAACCGACTGGGCTAGATGAGAACGGCTAAATCAATGTTCAACCTGCTTAGCAGGCGTTTTATTCTTGTGAGTTATAAGGAAGTGGGCTGTTAGGTCTTCGTCGCGTATGGGCAATTTTCCCCGGGAACAAATACCCTCTTCATCTAGATACATTTGGCGACGTCAACAGTGTTGCGGAGCCTTAATCCAACCTTAAGAAATCTGGGAGCAGTGACACCGCCTTACGTCTTTTTGCAACTAACTTCATCTACCAGACTTTTCTATGGCAAACCTTTGCAACCTAAAGTGTGGTACAAGTGTACATCTTGTTTTATTTAATATTCTTAAGGTTGAATATCCACGTGCCATAAAACAGACCTAGTGCCTACGCAAAATTTGAAGATAAGTGAAAAACTTGGCTATTTGCTTTTTGGGTCTGAGTGGGGGCAAAATGAGCATTTGATATGTTTGTTGCCTATTTTTTTAAACATTTCAGAAAGAGGGGGTGATTGCTCATGGGGGCATGTTCACTATTTTGCAGTGGTTGCCAGAGTAAGCTGTAGCTTGTTTTCTGCACAACCCTTCTGATTATTGTTTCTTTTCCGTTGGCGGTTGCAGAGATGGGAAGGTCAAACAGAAGACTAGGACTCTCTGCATCAAGAACGTTCCCGTCGACTTGACGGAGGTATGTGACGCTGTTTTACCTGTTGTGGCAGCTTGCACCCCATCTTGTGTCATTTATACCAAGACTTGCATCGAGGCTGAAGCCTGCCTTTTTCCTGCGAGTAATAACTGTCCGTTTGCTGCCAGGTCGGAGTGCGGAACCTTTTCTCGAACTGCGGCAAAGTCCTGTCTGTTTCCAAGCTTCATCCAAAGCCCGAGTATCCGGATAAGACAATTGCGTACGTATTGGTCCATGACATTTCTCCCCAATGCTATCGCCCTGCGCTCTGTTTCATGTTATAGAGCACAGCAAAAAGATGCTGGTGCAAGTTTGCATAGTATTTTGCTTTCACCTCAAACACTCTCATGAAAAGAAAAAGAAAATAAAAAGAGGTCTGTCATTGTTTTGTTGCTTAGAAAAACAATAAAACAACATTAGGGTTGCAACTCCTGCATCTCCTCTTGCAAATAGTTACTGCTCAAGTAGAGAAAAAGCCTACTTAGAAAAACATGACACCTCCCAATTTTTCTTTTGCCAGGTTAGTTGTTGCGGTTTTTGAAGACCTACTTAATCAATATTTTGCTACATCACATATATTTTCAATAAAATCAAAATATGCAATTGCTCGAAACCGAAACCGGACTGGGGAGGAAAAAGAAATATAGAAGGGGGGGGGGGGGGGGGGGGGGGGGGGGAGGGAGGGAGGGAGGGAGGGAGGGAGGGAGGGAGAAAGAGAGAGAAAGAGAGTTATTGGAAATCTTGTAACTGTGCAACTTTTTTTTTTTTTTTTCAGTCACCGTATTAGCAGCTTTTTAGAAGCCACAAAAAAATGGGTATCATATTTTTGTCTATTTTTAGTATTGAGTGTGTGCCTTCGACGATCCACGACTTGGATTATTTTTGCTGGTTGTGTCTAAACCATAGAAAATGGCACATGAACACGGAGAAGAGAGTGACCGCGACCCCAACCGGCCAGTTCTCGATCGGCGGTTTTCGGGCGGAAACAAAACGAATTTCGAGCCGCAAATTGTGTTTTGGGTAGTTGGGCTCTCATGTGTCGTGTGCAAATAAAAAACTTGGCAAACGGGAATACCCTGTCAGTGTCCCTTTAACGAGTTCAGCCGTCGCGGTGCGGCTTGACCACACAACCAAAGCGAGGTTTTGTGACCACCCTCGACGAAGACTCCAGAGGAGGTGAGGCTTCCAGAAATGGTCGCCGGCAAGCAGCCGGCAACTCAGCTGGCTGATTTGCTTCCGATTGGAATTCTAAAGACTGCTCTGCAGCAAGAGGTGTAACTTTGAGTTTATCTTGAGACCAAGTTCATCTTGATTATCTGATTTCACTTCCTACTCCGGCGAACATTCATTTTGTTTCCTTTTTACCATCTTGCCCAGGAACACATTTGTTTCTTCAAAAATCGTGTTTCGCCTGCAGGTTTGTTGATTATGGCACGACCGAAGAGGCCCTGCACGCGATCCAGCGACTGCACGACCGGCCGCCTTTCTTCTTGAAGGTCAGCCTGGCAACCATGGCTGCCTCCGACCGTTCCAAGATGGAGGCTAGGCTGAAGGTATGCCCATTGTCTTTACGGATTCCCAGACTTCTTAATCTCAAAGTATGGCTTTCAGCCTCGAATGGAAATAAAGGCAGCCCTCCTAATCTCAGCAGTGTTGTAGTAAAGCGGTCGTACGTCTGCAGGCCTTGTAAACCAGGGGTCTCAAACTCATTGTGGTGTGAGGGCCAGATAGGTCACCCTTGGAAAAGTCAAGGGCCAGCCAGAAGTGGGGAGTAAGGGAGGCAATATTTTAGTATTTTAAAACAAAAAAACGCAATGTCGTTTTGTGTTGGAAAGCAGCCAGCTCTCCCAGCGACACCTCTGGGATTTTCTAGCGAAGGGATCTTGTGCTCTCTTCTTTGTGTAAGTTTGCCGTTTAGCTAGTGACATCTTTTGCTTTGATTTGCATATATATCTAGTTTGGGCCCTGAACTGATGTGACGAGATTTAAAACACCAACATGCTGGCTGTTTTTAATGGAACAAAAGCAGTCACATTGTCATTGCCCTGTCACACAATTTACTAGGCTTGCCTGTCATGGAAACAAATATCGCCTCATACGGCAGTTTTTACTTGCCTAACAATTTTTGTAGCAGCATTATGAGTAAAAGGTATTTTCTGACGGCCAGGAGCCTGACCACATCGCTTTATCTTCGGATGTTGTACCCACCGAGCAAGAGTTTGTGCTTGTAGCTTAGTACAGTGGCATTGTTCTGGTTGATTTATACGAGAAAGGGCTGAGAAGCAAATATTTAGAGGACGCAATACTCATTCCAAAAGGAAACAGAATATTGTATGATATGTGAACACTTCTTATAAGCAGTGCTCTTTTTCGAGCCGAAATAATAGAAAATATGTAACTACTATTAATGGCTGTGTCCCAGCGAGTTGAGCGCCGCGTGCTTGAGACCTCTGTTGCAAACAATAATGCACATCTAAGGGGTGTTTGGCACATAGTCCTGAATGCATCGATAAGTATTCCACTAAAGTGGCTCTTAATCTGACAAAACACTGGGCTTAGGGGAATGGGGGGTTGGGGAAATTTGGAAACTTGGGGAACCCAGGAAGGTACACTGGGGAACCTAGCCGGTTTTTAGGAACTCAGCATGAGAACCCATGGTCTTTGATATGCTGGTGGAAGCACCACTGACTGAGCAGGAATTGCAGTGGAATCCAGTCGCAGCGATACCACATAACAACGTATTGCTCATTGCGATCAGTTCCTAGAGTTTCTGGACTAGAAACGGTAGGATCGGGTGCGTAACATATGGTTTGCAGAATTCCCAATTTTTGGGAATCGTTAATACTAGTGGGTGCTTCAACGAAGTGGGCGCTTCTGCAGTATTTTGTTGTAGTTTCTAGTCCAGACACGACGATCAATTGTAACGATCGAATTTTCGGGTTTTCTTATTATCGTTAAAAAGTGGATCACACTGTATTAGGAGAACCGACAACTTTTTGTACCTTGCCTGTCATGGTCATACTAAAAAATTACTGATGCATATAAAAGACAATTCCAGCTGCGGTAATTGTTATTATTGTGGTGTACCGCGTGTAGTGCCATCATTTACTATCCAACCTTATGTTGCTTAAAAAAAAAATGTTTAGGAAGAGTTGGACGAGATCCGTCGTAAGGTGGAAGCGGAACGTGCCAAGTCTGAAGTGGTGACAGCCCCCTGCCAGCCGTCGACCGACGGAGGAGTGGTCCCAGCCCCTGCTGCTGGGAAAAGTCTTCCAGCATCCGGCGAATTCACCCTCGAAGACGTAAGACTCTGTGCACATTGAAAGAATGCTTGTGGTCTGAATGTATGTTTGTGCGCAGCATTACAGCTTGCAAGCACGTTTGACATTCAAGAAAACATTGTTGGGAGATGTGACTGTTTGTGTGTTGGCTGAACATGCCAACAAATCTGACTGTTAATAGTGAAACGATTGGGCGCTGGCGGCATCCGGTCATTTCTAGACATTCTTTAGAGTTGAGGATTTTGTTAAGATGTCTCGTCCATCGAAGGACTTTCGTCATTGCTTCGTAGTCGAAGTTCACATTCCTAGTTATTTACTGTTTCTGTGCAGTGTCTGCCATGGGGTAGCTAACACTAGGTGTAGAAGTTACAGGAGGACACTTAAGACTGCTTACATGTAGGAATGCAAAAGCATTTCTACAAGCAGTGCGGTTCGCTGTCCTCCGCAGAGGCCGGTTGGGCGACACGACATGACTGAAAGCAGAGCGTAGAACACGTGATACAGTGGTGCACGGGGAGAGGAGGGGGAATTTCCCGCTTCCTTTCCCCACCCCCCATCTCCAGCCACGCTTGACACGGGACCTGAGAGGGGGGGGTGCGGCCGCATGCGCGCCACGCTTGCACTTTTATTATTGTGCGGGCCCCCGCGCCAGGAAGAGGGCTTCTCTGTGGGGCGGCATTCCTTGGAACTACGATGCGTTGCCCAATAAGAATTTAGCTGCCGTTTTTCGTTGCTACAGACAAAATTTAGGTGCTGTTTTTCGGGGTCATGACAACGCTGGCTTCGCTCCATGGGACAATTCATGCTTTCGCGTTAAAAATAAAAATAATTTATGTTTTAATGCAAGTGAAGTTTTGCCACATGCCTATCTCTATCGAGTTGATTCAGCCTAGCATGCATATTCGCTTATGGGCAGTATGCCCAATCCTCGAACGTCGAACATACAAATATACACAATTTATTGTAACTGTTTTAACTTTGGCAAACATTTGGATGCATTTAAAGGTGGAGCCCCTTCTCTGCCACATCAAGATAAAAGGACAGGTTTTGTTCTCGCAGACGCCTAGACGGGCGTACTGCGTGGCGCCATTTCTGTTTCTAGGTGCCGAAGTATCGCCGTGAACCCTAAACTCCCGGTCTTCCTTGCTTAGCTCAAGGATGCGAAAACGGAGCTGGGGTTGGGATCGCGACGGCGTCGGAGCGGCTCCGCCAGCTCCTCGTCCTCGTCGTCGGGTGACTCCTTCAAGACGACGTGCGAGTTCCCTGGTGGCAGCAGCAGCGACGCGACGCTGGAGGACGAAGTGCTGGTGATTCGAGGCAACGGCGATGGCAAGGTAACTCGCTTCTTCCAGAAGCGGGAAGGAAAGGGCAGGTGCCTCTTCTGCAAGGCTCCAGGTCAGTATGGCTCTACGACAAACTCGTCGATCGATTAGGTTGGCAGCAGATCGGTTTCCGTGACTGCCCCGATTGGTTCGTTGATTTGTAATTGGTCAATTAGAACAATTCTTTACAGTCGCTTGGTTAGTTTGTTTAGACATGAACCAATTGATTGCCAACAGATCGGTTGAGGCTTCAGTTGGGTGTGAAGTTTTGTGGTGTTCAATAATTTACTTGGTTTGTTGATTGGTCGGTTATGTTGCGATTAATTGATTGATTGAAAGCAGACAGTTGAGGCTTTGATTGGGTTTTGAGAGGCCTGCTAACTTGGTTGGTTCATTGATTTGTTGATTGGCCAATTAAACAATTTGTTTTGTCAATTTATTTATGATTAATTGATTTATTGGCAACATATCAATTGGGGCTTTGGCTAGGTTCGAAGTTTTAGAGGTCTTATCTTTTAAATGGTTTATTAATTTTTGGTTGGTCAGTTAAAAATTGCTTGGTCAATTATTTATGAATAATTGATTGATTGACAACAGATCAATTGAGTGATCACACAAAACAACCTCTTTTGCTTTTCTGGTGACTTCTACGATGTGTTCTGATATGCCCTACACTATTACTTATATCTTGTTAAACGGACAATGAAGGCAATTTCGGACATCTTTTTGGTGATTGAACTGGGTTCCAGGCACGTCTCGGGCCACGTTGCCCAAATTTCAGCCGAAACCGACGCTTGTGTGCCGTGCAAATCAATTAAACAGTCGCGGTAATAATCATACCGGGCTCGATTGGGGCGACACCCCAAAGTTGCGGAAGAAGCCAGGAGAAGCGGAGCTCACGTGACCGATGCGGGGCCAAGAAGCGCGACGTCACTAGAGACGCGTCGGCGATTGGTCGAAACGAGAGACGTGCCCTCGATCACATTTTGGTTCGCGATTTTTAGAAATACTGTTCTAAGTTCCGCTTGAATAACCATGAAAAGTATAAATCGAACTGGAAATGATTACTAAACCGTAAATGAAGCAGCATAATTGTTTTTTTTCTTTGCTATGCTGAACGCGAAACGACCAACGAGCAACTATGGGCACTTCGGCATGCGGGCCGCTCGTTACCGGCTCGAGGCCGCCACACACATACTCCCGTTACGTTTGTGTTGGGTTACTGAACGGAAGCTCGAGCTTGCTCGCGAGAGCGGCATTGCCTTCTATGTTGACAGATTCGACGAAACGACCGCACCACCGCGCTGCTATAACCCACCGCGGTAACCAGAGTCTCGATCTCCTAAATACTACCGACACCGACTATTCACGCTTGATGTCACTCCCTACATCACCTCCGTTTTCGGAGGCCCAGAAACGAAAATGGAGATTGTTCAGTTTCGGTGTCTTTACTTCTTTCGTAGGCACAGAAATGCACGTCACAAATGTCTACAAAAAATTGGGCAGCATGCTATGCTCCCAAGAAGCATAAAAACACCATTTTAAAAAATTAAATAAAATCGTCTTCATTGTCCCTTTAAGGTTGTCGGAGTGACTGATTTAATTTGTAAATGTATGGATTAATTCATTTTCATTAATGGGTTGGCTAATTAGTTTATTGTGCATTGACTGATGTGGATAAGTTTATTACCAGGGTGTGTATTTTCCTGTCTTTATTAATGAGAAAGATTGGCAGATGTTTTTTGGTGTATATTTCATTTTTAAACACCGGTACATTTCAGTTAGTCGGCTTGCCACAAGGCTAAAAACGGTGATTATCGGTTAAAAAAGACAGTGTTGCCGTTCGACAGTTGATATATGTAGTCAAAATGCAAGTCAGAAGCAGCAAGAAATAGCCATTTCACTTATTTTTGTGCCAAACTTGTTGCCACCGTATTTCTAAGAAAAAAAGTTTTAATAAAAAGTGAAAATCAAAGGAGGCTTTGTACACCCTTAGTCAACGTGAATAAATGCTGCCACAGCGAGAATAATTGAAGTTCATTATCTTGAAGGAGCTCAGTAAGCACGCCAAATGTTGAAGGTGTTTTTTTTTTTTTTTTTGCAGCCACAGCATTAACTTTAGTCTCGGCATCACCACAAAGACGCACAGCTTTATTTTGTTTCTTCATTCAGTTTTCATTATCGAAACTTTATAAGGGATGAACAGAATCTGCGTAATACTGTAGAGTGGCAGGTTTTTGCCCTAGCCATTGCTAAGGCAAAAACATGGAACAACCAACGTTTATAATGCAATTGAATGCAAAGGTGCAAGCGAGCTGGACAAGAATGACGAAAGTAATCCCTGGAGAAGGGGAACAAGGGGGACAAAGGACAAACACAAATCTCCAAATACAGCTAGGTGCGCGACCGAAAAAATCCGCCTGGTATTTGTTTGGTCGCGTTTGTTTGGAGTTTTGTGCTTGTCCTTTGTCCCTCTTGTTTCCCTTCTCTAGAAATTATTTTCGTAACCAACATGTTCTTTTTTTTTTAATTAAGGCGAAATATTCAACCACCGTTTTCTTTTCTCGGTTTTATCTGATTTTGCATTTTCGTCATCGCCGGATGCTTAATTACCTATGTTTTTCGGTTAAAACCGGAAAGTGCACATCCTTATTATGACAGATAAATTCATTGACCATGCAATGGCTAGATATACTCTTTTTTGGTGGTTGCTATTATATTAATTTTAATGTCTCATTGCTTGTGTGTTCCCACACAAGCATCTATCTAAATGAAGGACCCTTTCATTTGAAGTGCAGCTAGCTAGACCACCCGGAGTTCGTTTTAAAGACCCTTGTTTCTTAAAGTACGATCCTTAACATACTTTCTTGGTCCGTGTTGCCACTTGGTCAACTTTCAGTCATGACTAACTAGCCAATCAATCAATTACCGGCTCGAGTGGAGCCAGGATCTCTCTGATTACGCTTTGGCGAGTTGGTTTCCGGGCCGGTTGATGAGTGAACTAGGTGATTGAGCGGCTAGTTAATTGACGAGATGTCAGATTGCTCGGTCGATTAGACTATTGATCAACTCACGAACCATTTAATCAGTCGGTCAAATCGAAAGTTTGTCGACCACGAACATGGAGCAGATCTCTGATAAATGTTTTTCCATGCAGCCGACCTCCACTGCGCTAGATGCAAGATGCCGTACTGCTCCCGAAAGTGCCAGACGAAGGACTGGCCATCGCACGAAGACGTCTGCCACCAGCAGAGGTGCGCTCGATGGCGAGGCCTGTGATTTTCGCATGACACTGAAGCACGATTAAAGGGCCTCTTACTGTCAAAAGTATAATACATTCCTTCTTGTGCAATGTGCTGTGTAAACAAATTTCCGTGGAGATGTTTTTGGGAAGTTTTGCGACCTGCAAAACATTGCGAATAGTTGGTGAACGTATCGCCCCACGGTAATGTGTAAATGGTAGACCACTCCCAGTCGCAAAATATTCCATGGATCCCACACTTTGCAAAATTCATGAAATATTGAGCCCTTCGAAAATAAAGTCGTTTGCAGATGTGGGTTGTCGAGATATTGCTAGATGAGGTTTTCACCACGGGGTAGTTGTCTATTTGCTGAGAAAGAGAGTCAATGGGCCATGAAACAGCCTTAAAAGCGTTCCAAATTTATTACCATAATTTATTTAATTATTTATTTTTGTTGTACAAGTAAGGGTGAATGCGGGGCATTTCATCTTAAAACAATGAAGTACCACTTAACAAACTTCGAGGGACCCCAAGAAAAAGTTTGCTTACATGACTCAACTGAATGGCTTTGGACACAATAGGGTTTTACCACAAAATTTTTACACAGGTTTGTTCATCTGGATAGTTTGTTCAAGTGGTATTTCAATGCACCGTGGTTCCACAGTATAATTGCGAAGCAAAAACGGGCTACTTTCGAATCTCCAGTTGGATAGGAACCGTGGAATGACATTTCATACTGCATGCTGCTGTACATTATAGTGGGTTTGCAAGCCATGCTCTATTTCAAGCTACTGAAAAATACCGGGGGAGTGCTCATCCAGCTTTGACTGAAGACTGAGTTAATCTAGACATGGGCACTTGCCGGTCAAATCGGATGCTTAAAGGGACCATGAAATGACCCTTTTACTTTTGCCAAATAACTTTTTCAATAAACCTTCAATGCTCACTGAGCGCCGAATAGGCATCCGTTTTCGTTTCGGTTTATTAAGTTGGAGGTCCATGTCACCTCTTTGTCTGGTCCTCGTCTTTTCGCGCTGTTTTTAATTCCGAAGTATGTACCAACTTGCCCAAGCCTCAACTTTAGCTTGGAGAAGAAGAGTTTTCTTCCTCTCCAACTCGCCGCAAAACAAGCCTCGGCGTAATTTTAAGGGTCATGACATACTATGGCGCCGGGCAGTAGGAGAATGGGAGGATTAGCGGCGAGCTGGCGGTGTGCCCGTAGGTTTTACAACAGGGTTTTACTGCGCTGACGGCGCCGATGCCACCGACATATTTTTGAATCGGCGCCTCTCATCACCACAATAGCCATGGACACATCGCAGCTGAGCGAAATTCAATTAGATATGTTGCGCTACAGCGACAGCATGGGACTGGTCTCATACGCCGGTATGCCTGTTGGAAAGTGCGGCGAGTCTTACGACAGAGACTCCAGTTCCTCGTCGGAATCGTACGACAGGGAGTGGCGACTCCAATGTATGGAATGATCCGAGCATACAGTGATGACCTTACACCTGGGGTCCCCCAAACCGATGAGCCTGCACCAAGTGCTTCGACGTGGTTCCTCGAGTGGCAAGCGGTGAAACTGCAGCCGCTTCTTATAAGCTCCGGACTGCACAAACTGTAACTCGGGCACTTGCAACGAGTACGTTAACAACTGACCGGAGCGACCGGAACAACTGCTCTGCGCCGCACGTACACACTTGTGCAACCATTGCAAGATGCGCTGCAGGTCGTCAGCACGACAGCTGCTTCTCCGCCGCCGTCAGCGGTTTCCGCATTTTTTTTAAAAGGAGGGGACGCACTGCCACTTGCTGGTGTAGCAGAAAAAACACAGAGTTTTCTATCGGCTCCAGTTTTATTAACTTTTATTTTGTTAGGATAGGTTCGCAGGGCAGTGTGGATGAAAAAAAAGAAAAAGATGCAGTACGCTGTCTTGGACGATCACGACTTTAAAAGATGACTTTACTGATAGTACAAATCTCGCCACATGCCTTTTCTACGATTGCAAAAGACGATGTAATCTTAGCAGCGATATAGCGATGTAGAAATTGATTTCATTATCATAGACGTTGCCCGAGTTCAGGAATGCTAACACTAATCACTGGGGTGATGAAAACGCAACAAAATTCACATCCTTCATACACGCTTTTAAATACAGGACGCACCAGTAGTACCTTGAACTTGAGAACACGTATGGAACGCTCAAAGTAAGAAATCTGGGCGATGTTTGAGGACACAAATGCTAAGAAAGAACCGCTGTAGTCGAAGTAAAAAACACGATGGCACGAGCGTTTCTGCTGTCTTGAAGGTGTTGCCACAACATTACCTCACAAGTAGATGGATCTTTCCTTCTAGAATGTACTGGGTTATCATTGCGATACACGATGAGAATTTGGTCAGGGATAGTGCTCTACGCGGAACAATGAGCTTTCACCACGCCGACCACGTCAATGATCACCACCGACGACATGCTTCTCAGCAGAGAGCAGGAACCACGACGCACACGGCATACAACGCGCGCGGCCGAGCTCTCTTCAGCAGATGACGCTCATGGGTTGACAGCGCAGGCGCAGCCTGATCTTTTGCTTCGTTTACTACACGATAAATGGCGCATAGCACCGAGCATTATAAAATTCATCAATTTTTGTCGCATCTCTAATTACGCTACAAAACGTGAATCAAAATATACTTTAACAAAACTTTTAAGAAACATTCGCCGGCTATTTATTGTTTATGCTCGCAGCACTGGTGAGGTAGGCTCTTACCCAATAGGCGACGTGGGTCTGGCTGACGTGCTTTGGCACTGGGGATGCATCGCAGTGAAAAGGCGGAGAGCTTTCGAAGGAAAGGAAATACAAAAGAGTGTGCTTTTCTTTTAAAAGTTCTATGGCGAAAACATTTTTTTGGTTCTCTATTTCTGGGTTTTGATTTTCTTTTCATACCTTTTACGACGTGTGGTGGATGAAATTACATTTCAAAATCGTTTCATGGTCCCTTTAAGATATAATTTGCAAAATTCCGAGAAATGTTAATAGTGGGCGCTTGAACGAAGTGGGCCGCTTCCGCGGTATTTTCTGGTAGGTTACACTACTCTTGTTATTTAGACATGCAAGTAAACATGTTGTAAGCTTTCTGTCATCGCCGAGAGTTTAAGAGATAAAAGACCAGGGGCGCCACCCTAGTTTGAAGGAAAACCAAAATCTACTACCCGTTCCTTGACTATGCACCTGGCTTTTCGCCTTTGCCACTCACCCTCCTCATCCACGAATGAAGACAACCCAGTGGGTAGGCGCCAACCGTGGGAACGGTTCGTGCCATGGCAAGATATCCGTCGGTTTGTCTTGTGCCCCTGTGCGTTTGACTCGGAAAGCGGCGTTGACAGATGTCGCGCTCTCCAATCTGTCTAATTTTTTAAAATTGAAATTGCAACATGCAAATTTAGCATGGTTTTTAATTTCTCTGTTTCAATACAGCCAGAAATTAATGAACAGAGTTAACGCACAGTTTTCCGAACTTCGTTTCGCAGTGCCTGTAAATGGCCTCCGACAATTTCTGCGTGCCTACGTATCTATATACCGTAGAATACCACGCATCCGCCCATGCCGCACTAAGCGCCCATTCCCGAATGTTGTAAGATCTGAAAAAAATATGCACCGTACATTTAAATGTAAAATTGATGACCGGACAAGTGCCCATCCCCCATTTTTTTGCGATTATCTCTAAATCTCGAGTGGGCACTTGCCCAGTATTTTACGGTAGCTGGATCTTGATCACAGATTTTTTACTTTTGTAACGGTGTAACTGGTTATCACCACTTTTATAAACATTTCTTGACTGGTACTTTGCCACTGGGTGCCTTCCCCCCTCCCCCTCTCTCTCTCCCCATACTCTTTTTTTTATTTATTAGCCTAGTGAAAGGAATACACCAAACTCGGAATGCTCTAAACAACATGCTTCTTGGCGACTTTACAACTAGAAAACAAGTGCGAAGGATTAATCATGCAAACATATTGCCGACTGATAACTTTATTCTCGTTTGTGGAAGGTAGTTTCCACCATTGAACAAAGCAGCTCTTCTGCAAATGTGCATGATAGAGTAAGTCTGGAAATGTGCTGTCATATGTAGTCCTTGAGGAGTAGTGAACATCTGAGGCACGTCTTCATTTAATAGAATTAATAAAATCCACAGCGCAAAGTTCTTACGATCCCCAGAGCACAGAAAATATGCTGGTTTAATGAAAACCTGAATGCACAATTGCCTGAAGTGAAATGAGTAAAAGCATGTCTCTTTTCCGTTGTTGACCCCAAGTATGCTATTAGGTTATAGATATATCTACATTGTACCTAGAGCTTGTTAAAGACGTGGCTACATTCAAATAAGCCTTCTCCTCGACTGCAACAAAGCAGATATGGCTGTGTTGTCAAAAGTTCTCTTTAGCCGTTGATGCTAATTTCATTCCTGTTAAGGCATCTGAAAATATGGAAATGTACCGTAGCCTAGATATGTCCAGATATTCCATTTGTAACTCAACTTAATTACACGAGATCCTTTGTTTTCCTTTCTCTGATATTTTTAATTACATTACCACAAAGAAATTATGAGCAAAACGAATGACATCGCTAGGTAAACCTTTTCAATACAAAACTAATAAGTTTATTGCCGACACACAAAGATAACATTCTGGACATTCCCGCTAGGCAGTGCCTCAAACCCTAAGGTATAAAAAATGACACTAATAATAATTAAAAAAATAAAAAATAAAATATTTAGTTTATCATTACTCTCACTTGGACAGGACATCTATCAAAACGGATATCTATACACATCTCAACTGGCTTGGACGTTGACACTTGGTTGATGGGTTTGGACGCATGGGCGCATGACAGGGTTTTGCAGAATTAATCTTTTTTGCAATATATGACTATTCAAAGTGCCACCCACCCCTTAAAACAAACGGTATCCCCGACCAATCGGTGCGCAGCTTGTCGGCTAGGGTAGTACCTGCGGTTCATTCTCGTGTCTCGCGCTCGACGCAGTTCTTCACAGCAGCTGACGGTGGCCGAAGCGAGTGACGGGATCCTGGTGTCGCGTTCACATCCAAGTGACCAGACGCAAGCGAGGGTCGGAGCAGATGCGTCACCAGGGTTTGAGACAAGCACCGGAATCAAAGTGAGCTCGTGTTACGGTTTCTAGAAATGAAAGTTACGGTTGTCCAATGCCTTAGCTACGGGAATTGGCAGTTGTTGTTTGCTATCGGAGGACATGCCAGTTTTGTGGGTCATCCTTTCACGGCATGCATTTGGGAATTGTAGGTCACGCTTAAAGAGTCGTTGCTGGCTTTGTTTATTATTGTGGAAAAGGACTTACTTGAGTTATTGCAGGTAGCCAGTCATTTGAGTGGGTTTGTCTGTCATCACTGTCTTGGTTTTGATGGGATGGGTGTCGGTAAGAATGTGTTAAAATCAAGGTGCTTTTTATTTCTGACACGGATGATGCACTGGAGTAATACATTTAGACCAGACTTCGATCTCTATAACCTTAATACTCACCAGATAACATTAGTCCGGTACTTGTCCAAATGCTGAATCAGCTCTGGCTTGAGTCTGATCGTTTTGCAGAACTAATGCATCAAAAAGTTGAACCAAGCATTAGTTAACTGGGCAGTACATTCAAACCTTGGAAATTGCTACATTTCGTCCCGTAGTAGGTGTAAAAAAATATAAACTGAAATATGAGGCGTTACATTGAGCAATGCTATGCTTCCCTGCACATTTCTGTAGCACTTATGTATCCAACATGAAACTAGTAGGCAGAAATCGTTCACCTTTCCACATCAGATTTGTGTGTCTTTAGACTAAAAAAAATATTTCCTACCTTCCCGAGTGCGAATTTCGTAAAAGTGCTGCAAACAAAGCTTTATTGCGCACTTAATAAGTTGCTTGGCATTGCAGCCAACCACTGAGCCAGAAGCGTCAAAACCGGTGCACCTGGAACCAGCCACCTTGCCACTCGGAGAACAAGTAGAGGTTAGTGCATTGTTTCATTTCATTTTAATTTCATCTATTGTTTTCTTTCGAGGTGTGCAAATATCAAAATCTTTCGAAAGAAATAAAATTGAATAATAAAGGTTATGAATAAAATCAAATAGAATATTTTCAAATATGAATAGTAGTTGTAGGAACATTTTTGACAGCAATTTTTTCTATTTGATGTGAATTAAACAAGAATGCTCAATCAAAACACAACTGGAACTTTTTTTTTTTTGAACAAACATTTATGAAAAGGTTACTTTTATTGCAATAAGAAAAATGTCACACATGTGACTGATAAAAAACAGACAAAATAAAATATCAGTCAGATAAACGCCATTCAAGGAGTGAAGCTACAAAACGTAAATGAAAGTATGCAAGTGGCGGCGGGTCGGCAAGCCACAATACAAAGTTGAAGATTGCGTTGCGCAGTTGCAGCGACTTTCTGCAGTCTCTTTTTACGCGGGTGAACGCAACCACGTGGACAAAAAAAAAGAGAAGTACACTGGCCCCAGTTTTTAATAATATCAAGCGAGCGTTGACCGCTGGGCCGGTCAGTGCCGGGCCGGTCAGTGCCGTGCCACGGAGGGGTGCAGCGATACGGGAGAGATTAGGCGCGTGCGCACAAAGCTCTTTCCGGTGCAAGCGTCATCTGCAAGGCTATTCCGCTGACCGCACACAGCCTCTGCTCGTAGCAAAGGAGCGCAAGGTGCTGATTGATTTAATTGTTTATCCTAAGCCCACTTCCCCCTCTCTCTCTGCTTGTCGGTGGAGCAAAATGTCTGAAGAGCAAGCGCTGGCGTGGTACTCGTCTTGAGCGGCATAAACAGTGCCGCAATGACGATAGCTTTACTCTGCGGTCTGGTTGTGTTGTTTCGTGTTTGAATTTGCAGCCAATTGCTAATTTGTGTGCCTGAAAAAAAAAAAGCGAGTGATAAGCAAGCGCTGTTCAGATCTTTTTAAAGGCAGTTAGCTCTCCCAGCAAATAAGGAGCAGGGGTTGTGTGCGGTAAACGGAATAGCCTAGCAGACAACGCTTGCACCGGAAAGATCTTTGCGCGCACACGCTTAATCTCTCACGTATCGCTGCAGCGCTCCACGGCACGGCGCTGGCCAGCCCGGCGGTCGACGCTCGCGTGATATTATTAAAAACTTGGGCCACTGTACACAAGCTGAGGTGGGTCGGCAGGCCACAGCAGAGTTGGAGATGGTGCGATCGCATCGCACAGCCGCACTGACTTTGCACGATCTCTTTCCGTGTGCAGTAGTTCTGCCGGTAGAGAGTGCCAAAAAAAAGCAATAAATTAAGAATTCATTGTTTTTTTGGCAGAGGGAGCTAGTCTCAAACATTAAGGTGGGCTAATTGGATATGCATTTCAGAAATAAATAGTGCAAAGGTCAAGTGCACACTGAAGAAACAAGCACTTATTCCGTCAGGTGTACTTGACCTTCGCGCTGTTTATTTCTGAAAAGAGCATGTCTCACTTACCAGTGAAAACAGGTAGAAATAATTAACAAAAGAAATACTGGCAAACTGATGAATCGGAAAATCAAGCAGAAAATAACACGAACCAGGTATTGCCGGTAGCCGAGGTCAGCCGTAAATCCATATCCGAATCCATAGCACCTTGGCTAGTGTAGTGACTGTAGGGAGGACTGAAGCGAGTGTGGTCCGTCGGTTTTGTGTTACGACGATGCACGTGCCGTTGCAAGTCATAGATCTTCATCAGATCTATCGCAATGTTAGCGCCACGACCACTTTGCCAACTCCATAATCCAGACATCGTGGCAAGCAAAGGACAGATCGCACTACCGCATGCAAATAACTTTCCAGTGCTTCATACAATAAAGAAAAAAAGTACATAGGGTGGCTTTTTTGGGTTTGCCAAGCTCGAAACCATACTGTGCAGTACAAAAACAAAACGGAACTCGACCGCGAGTTAACACTAATCAGCGAGTTCCGCATAATTCATAATTTTCAAAGTACTTGAAGAACTCAAATACTTCAAACAGCGAAAGTGTGTAGCGAGTCGAATTGAATTGAATTGAATAGCAAGCATTATTCGCAAAGTATTCAAAGTTTTGAATATTTGCTTACCCCTAGTTTGTTTTTGCTCACAGTGGACCTTATATAAGAAGGGAGGAAAGGGGTGACCAAAACATCACGACATATGCTAGCTGACATTAATGAAAATACAGAAAACAGTGGGCAAGGTTTCTAGGAACTCTGTCTACGGTTTTCTTTTTATCAAAATTATTTTGTTACTTTCCTCATATTTCTTTAAAAGAGCTGGGTCTGCCCAGTCAGCTGTAATGAAGAAGAAAGAACTTGGACCCCGTGAATGCATTTTTCTGTCAGCAAAATGCAGTGCACATCAACGCAAACTGATGCCTTTTCGATGCTTGACGAACAAGGAGTGTTTGTTTTGCAGACGAGTTAGAAAAGTAAAAAAGAACGCGTCCGATCCTACCAACAAAACTGGGTGGCAAAGAATGTGCAAAGAATTTTTAGCTGCACTGATGTGGACGCAAAATTCGCGTGCCCAACTTAGGTGCCTCAGACGAGGTCAAGTCGCGCGACGCCCTGACATTAGAGTGTCATGTGAAACAGCGTCACGGGACGCCGCGACCTGGAACCGTGGCGTCACACGACTTGACGTCACGTTACTTGACAAAGTCACATGGTTGGCGCCACATGGGTCACGCGACCCACGTGACACCATGTGAACACTGTCTGCTAAATGCGACAGGTAGCAGTTTCTCATGGCACCGCGTCACATTTTTTTTGGACGTCCCGGCCCCTAAATCTATTCTGTGTAAATTTGTTATGTGGCATGTGGTCAATCTGTCGAGACTGCTTTCGTCATTCACATTTACGCAGGTTATCGTCAGCCACGCCACAAACCCACTAGAACTCTTCCTCCAGCAAACTTCCTCGCAAACCGCTTTAGAACACCTCCAAGCCGAGCTCCAGAAACGCTGTGGCACCGGCGACGCCGACCAAGATCTCAACGAGGGCGCAGTCTGCGCTGCGCTGTTTCCAGAAGACAACCAGTGGTACCGTGCACGCGTGACTGCTTGTCACAGTGCCCAGTGCACGGTGTACTTTACGGTGTACTTTGTAGACTACGGTAACAGCGCCACTGTGACGGCGTCAAACACCCGTCCACTCCCCGCGGGGTGTACGCTTCTGGCGGAGCAGGCAGTTCGGTGCGGGCTGCACGGTCTCAAGCCTCCGGCCAGTGGAGGTGGCACCTGGAGTGACGGTGCAATTTTGGAGCTTGCAACGATGCTTACGGGTCGTCTGCTGGCCAAGGCAGTTGAGCTCAGTGACGGCGTTCACAAGGTGGAGCTTCGCAGAAATGGTAGGTGACCATATTACGGCACTGTGGTGGTCTTCGTGGTCTGGCACTGAAAAGGAACTTGCGGTTCTAGTTGCACCCGTGGTAAACTGTGGCAATTTTATTGTAGCGTATTTACTCGAATAATGAACAGACTTTCTTTCCCGAAAAATTGATGCATACTTGAAAGGTGCATACGTTATGCGGGTTAAAGTTTTGTGCACTTACAAACTTTGCACAAATCACGTTTCAAGTGCCGATCTGACACGGCAGGGTACCGTGGCATGTCTTCACCGACGAAGGTGCATCCACAGCTGGTCGTGGGTGTGCTGCAGTAACCGTGCTCTATAAGTTGCAGGCATGTTTTAGGGCACCTTCAGCATTCTCTTTGTTGAAGAGAAAGTGCCCTATGAAACTCGCTCAGCACGGAGAGTGACGTGACCATTGCTAGGCCTAACCACTTACATGATTTTACTGTCTGAAAGCGGACCGCAGACGACGCCGTGTTTGTTGACATCAATGCATCCGATGGAGGACACATCTCTCTCGGGACTGTGCAATTTTGTTAGTGCGCGCACCGCTCGGTTTTACCGTCGACCACTTCCGCAAGTTGCAGCCGTTACGCGTGCATGCACTGCCATGCTTGGCTTGGCCCAACTTGGCTTGACCGCTCGGCACCAAAAGAAAATTGGCTCAGTGGCTAGCCGAGTTGGATGCAGTTTGAGGTTTGCGGAGCCAAAAATGGAAAATACAAGTCATTATGCGCGGGAAAAAAAAAAAGAGTCCTAATATTGATGACCGTTCATTTTGCGGGTTAATATGGTATGTGATAGTCTCTAAATAATTTGGTTGCCCCATGCTTTTTTTTTTTTTTTTCACTGTGATTGAAATTGGTATGTACGCATTGGTTCACAATACCTTTTGACTGATGTCCCACGTTTTATGCGCCGAGAAACTGAGAAAGAGCAGGAGACGAGAGCATGTGGCGGCGTCGGAATGCCGAGCTCTGGTTCGAATGATTAGGGGGTAGACCCAAAACTAGCTGCCCATGCTCCACTGCACTCATTGAACGTGTTTGAACGCAAAACGGTGGCGTCTGGCGTTTGGCTCTCGCATTCGAACGCGTTCGCCGAGTGCAGCGGAGGCAAAGGCAGGTAGCTTTAGGTCTACTCACTAATCGTGCCAACCAGAGCTCGGCGTTCCGACGTCCCCGTGTACTCTCGTCTCCTAATCTTCCTCAGCTCCTCGGCGCACAGTCGCTGACTGAATGAGGACGTCGGGGCGTTCCTCATTCTGTTTCGACTACGCTTGCGCACGCGAGGTGCGCAAGACGCTGAAGCGTTGTCGAACATAGGAAGCTTGCATTGGGGGTGCGACAGCTGGAGCTCCTCCCTGCCGTCGTCACCTTGTCTGTGACTATCGTGCTTTCCATTGGGGGCCTAGATTTCTGAAACTTGGAGCAGATGCCCTGAGAAATGCAGGTCCGTAGTATTCCCCCCCCCCCCCGACACGGCTAAGTGACGTTTGTTACGCTGAGCAGAAACGCCGATGCAATCAGACAATGGGAATAAACTGTGGAGACGGTTCATGCCCTTTCTTGGCTGTGGTTACCGCCACCACCCCTTCCTTGGCGTTCTTTAATGAAGCAATTAATGTAAAATTGTCGTCGTCGTTTGTCCTCTTAGGTGGACAAGATTTTGCGGGGATCCTGGTGTCCAAAGGCTTGGCAGAGAGCACCATTTCTCCGGCGGTAGCTCCGCGCACCAGGGGACTGGATCCCGTGCGGCTACAAGCCGTACTGAATCCGCAGGCTAAGTCGAAGCAGCAGCCGCAGCCCGATCCACAGCCGAAGCCACAGTCGAACCGACGGTTTCGCGTTTCTTCGATCCTAGAACTTGTCAAGCCTGGCGAGGAGTTGACGTTGCAGGTGATGGTGTCGAGGAACAACGAGGTGTGGGTGTTGGTCATGCACCCAGAGGGAGCGCTGGAGCTTGCAAGTCTTGAACAGGAGCTGAACGAACAGTGTCCCAAGATGGCCCGGGGTTCCTCGTACACGTGAGTCTAGTTTGCAGTGCGTACGTCTGGCACGTCGTGTGTTGCAGGGGCAGTGCTGGAAACGGCCACCAAACGCTGAAACACTGTTATACGAAAAAGTAACCGTGTCGTACGTAATAAGGCATGAAGCTAAAGTCAGAGAATGGAAATATAGGCGTCACCATGCGCTGACTATCAACTGAATTGTCGACGGTCAGCTGTTTTGCCTATCTTTTTACGAATGGATAGATGATGGGCAATATTAACAAGACCAAGCGCTGGCTATCGACTCAAAATTTATTTTTTGAAAAAACTTGCAGCTTTTCCCCTTGGGGTTGACCCGGTGCATGGTACGGTGACATTGCCACTTTGTTTTACTCAGCCAGTTTGAGAACACACTAAACATAAATGCACCATTGGTAAAAATAAAATAATACGAGAGATCTCTGTATGAAGAACAAGCAGACATTTAATAATGGTAATGCTATAGGGACACTGCAAATAATTGGTTATGTGGGTTAGTTTTGGGTGGGCAGGGTATCGCTCTGCTGTAAAACGAACGGCGTATGTGTTGCATGTGTTAACAACTGCAGGTTCGCCAGTGGGGACTACGTGGCATCCAAGTCGCTAGAAGACGGGCGTTGGTACCGTGCTCACGTGACAAGCACCAACCCAGCGTGCCGCTGGGTCCGGTACATAGACTACGGAAACGACGAACTCAACACCAGCGTGGTTCCTCTCGACGAGAAACACCTCAAGGTGGCAGCGATGTCTGCACGTCTCGAAGTCGGAGATTGTACCGGTCCTTCCTTAGGTTCTTCCCTGACCTTTGTGGTTGAGTCGTCTGCTGGCGGCGGCGTGCTTTGTGGAAAGCTGGTCTGCGATGACGGTCGAAGGTTGCTCGGATCCGCAACACTGTCTCCTTGGGACTGCGGACTGGCTGCGGCTGCAGTTGGGACTGCGGCTCGGGTCGGATCCCCAACTTCGGCTGGATCCATGGCTGGCAAGTCGGAAGGAGCCGATCCGGCGGTCAAGCGTGTGACAAAGACGGATGCCAAGTTGGCTGTGGAAGTTGCTCCTGTGAGTGTTCTGTACCTTCTAAGCTATTTTTATAATTATGCCTCAGATGGGGCTAAAGCTGCCACATGATAGATGGGTGAGAGCTAGATTCGAGCACTTTTGTGGTACGCAATGCAAGGCTTGCAGAGAAATGTCGAACATTGCTTCGCATCTTGGTTTTTGTTAAGGATGTGCAAATTGCCGTTCGAACCGAATAACACTGCATCATTCGTAACCTTCACAGTGAAGGAAAAAGCCACGACAACCGGTGCTCTTGACAGTGTTAAAGCTAGGGATGACAGTGCACTGCTTGATTCGAACCGGTATCCACACACCTCTAGTTTTTATCTTTCTTGTGAATCAACTGCAAACAGGATAATTTTGTTTTCACTCATTGTGTCTTTACATTGGTGCCACAGGCCATGCTCCCTTATGCAAATATTTGTTGCAGTCACATTAACAGCCTTTGGGAAATTTAGGCATCGAGAAACTGATCAATCAACTCATAAATGGAAAGATTGGATAATTAGTCGTACACGCAAAATTAGTTACTAACTATTTATGTGACGAATGATTCGCTGATAAACTTGTCAGACAATCGCGCAAATGCAGTCACAGTCCACTATTTTCAGAAATTGCCAGTTCAGGAGGTACTAGTATGAAAATGCGTAAGTACTTGCTCAAGTGAGCTTGGGCATTCCCTAGATCGTAGAGTCTAGACCTTGCTGGCTCCATTGATCTGCAGTGGGCTACATTAAAGCTCCTCCGATGTCTCTTTTGTGCCTGTTCTATCTTTTGCCCCCAAGTTTGTTTATAGGTACTTTTTACAGCGAAGCTGTTTATGGCTAGGGTTCCGTGGATTTTTCATGTGCATCAACAAAAGCTACACTTGTACTGCCGCACGCGCACGCCTTTTTCATATAAAGGATTCTAAGTAAATAACCAAAATAAAGCGTTTGAAAAACGCGTGTGCAAAATGCCATTTGTTTTAGGCTTTTGCTATAGAACAGTTAGTGCTGAAGACACTGGCATGTGCGCTGTGTGGAACACCATTGCCTGCATTCTCCTTGATGCTTGGGTAGTTTAGCAAAAGGTCTATTCTAGATTAGTTATCAATAGGCACTATTTTCATGATCAGCAGACCATACCTGTCAACTCTACCGATTTTTTCGTAAAATGTATGAATTGGGACTAATTTTACGATTTTATGAATCTTGCTTCAAATTTTACGAAAAAAAAAGAATCTTTTTTTTGTAATTTTTTTTACATTCTTTTCGTAAAACCGCTGTTGGCGGTACCCTGCACCGCCACAAGAGGGCGATAGGTACCGTCCACGGCAGGGTCGTGGTTTTTACTGTTCGTCTATCCAGTGGCCACAAATCCAAAACCAATCCAAAGCCCAAAGTTCATCTGTTCAGTGGTGCATGTTGGTTTGGCATGTCGGGCCTCGCTGTTTCGGCCAGTTTCATGGCAAGCAGAGCGGTGTCTGTGTTTGGTGCACATATAATCATAGCATTTCCCTAGTCGCGGTTGCTTCGCGGTGCAATGGCGAACTCCAAACTTTGAAAGAGGTACTTTCAGGTGCTCCTGAAAACCTACACATTGGAATTCCTGTGCTTCGTGCCGTCCAAGAAGGGAGAGATGTTTGGATTCTGTCGCAAGTGCACGTGTGATGTAAGCGTTTCGCACGGTGGCAAGGCTGACATTAAGCTGCACATCGTTTCGCGTAAGCACCAGGGATAAGTGCCTGCCTCTTACAACCAAACCCCCCCCACGGCCGCGGGAGTTTTACCAGTTTGAAAGTCCGCAGGTTGGCAGGTACGAGTAGGCTCTGTGGATCGCTACCTAATTGACGCCCAATCGGGATGTGCCTCGCTCACTCCCCAAGAAGTCACTCACACAGTGTGCGTTTTTTAGAACAGTTTACTTCAACTCGTGCGTCGGTGGTGAGCGTCCGGTCGTTGTCGTCGTCACACACGCTGTCCGGTCCGCAGGTTAAGAAGGGACTCCCCTTGTCCCGCTTCCCTTTTTATATCCTCGCCCCCCACCGATCACGCGCCCACCACGACCCGTTCACGTGTACACGCACGCCCCTACCACAGTCCCCGGACGATCCCCGAGGGGGGATGATGCGCCGTATGGTGACTCTCCCCCGTCCAAGGATCCGGGTGAGCAGGAAATGGGCTGTTCGGCCCTGGCAGGGCGCGGGAAGAACAGGCGAAGGGGCGAGGGAAATGCGGGAAAGACAAGACTCCAGGGTGGGGTAGCCGGACGGATCCCCACAACTCTCAGGTAGATAATAAAGGTTTCTCAAAAATTTGCCACCGTGCGACCCGCGACGGCCATGTCTACGTTCGCACCGCCCTCTCTTTGTCGTCGTTCTAAGCGCTTGCATGCCTAGTTCTTTCCTTTCGCTCTCCCGGGGTGGCGGTCCCGTCGCGCATGTCTAGTTTCCTCCAGCTCCTCGGGGTGGCAATGGTCGTCCATGCGAAATATTACAAGAAATGTGTGTGCGTATCTTTCGTCACAATACACCTTTGTTTAAAATTCTGTGTCAAGTCCGTGTCGTGTGCTAAACGCTGGTCATCCACCTTCATAGGGTGGAATGGCTCATGATTTTTTTTCCTCTCCTTTTTAATGGCACTCATTGTTTCATCCTGGGAATCCTTGAATCCAGTTTTTCTGCCATGTAGCACCAGATATTTTTAAAATGGTGGATTGGATGACCGTGAATACACCTTTTTGCAAATTACCCAAGCAGCCAGGAGATCGTTGGGAATGTAGGCATAAGCACTACACGTGCTTGCCCTATCTGTATGAAAGATCTATACTAAATAACTGAAATCAGGTGTCGATGAACGCATGCATACTGCCATTTGTTACTGGGTTTTGCTTTTGAACGGTTACTGCTGCGGATGCCAGCACATGCCACACGTGTAACCACACTCTTGCACACTTCTTGGCGCTCGGGTAATTTAACAGAAGGCCGATCGGTCTCACCACGTCACAGATGGCTTCACCTTGTGCCCCCCCCCATTTCTCTCTCTGTATCTCCACAGACGAAAAAACTCGTCGTTGCCTCGTCGGTTTCCCCCCGCTCGGAAGCCAGGGTGCTCTGCTTGCACCAATGCAAGATTCCACCGACCAAGCGTCCCATGATTCCCACCTGGAAGACGGAGAAGCTGCTCTACCTTCAGCGGTGCGACCTGCAGCGCGACCTGCAGGCCATGATGGCGGAGCTCAACTCCTGGGTGCAGAGGACCCCCCACCACACGCCCGACCCACTCTCTGTGGGAGACTATGTGTGCGCTCTATACAGCGGCGACAAGACGTGGTACAGGGGACAGGTCTGTTGCGTTCGCGTACTGCAGCTTGCCACGCTCATTGCGTCCGTGAACATGCACGAATATCCCCTATGCTGCTCATCAACTTTTTAAATGTGATAGAATGTATGAGTGAACCCTAAGCACTTTCATGTCCATTGGACAGTTTGTAACCAACAAAGTGGGCGGCATGCATCCGTTATTGACCTACTTTAATTATGCATGCGGAGGGTGATCCGCCCAACATATGTGATACAGTACGTTAGCTTCTGAATGACCAAACAGTTACCAAGGATGTTGTGTCTAAATACATATGTTTGTATCCCTATAGTAAGAGTCAAGTGTTTGGAAGTGCAGTATCGCTACAACCAAAGTCGTTGGTTTGGTCGCGGCAGGCTTGTCCGCGGAAAGTATGTGGTTAGATCAGAAAACTATGCGAATTGGCGTTAAATGTGATAAAAGACTGTGTGTGTCGACGAAAAATTTTCCTAGTATTTTCACAGCAGTTCCTAAGTAGTCTAATAAAGGAATGCCACCGCAGTACAAGCCGGTGCAAACTGCTGTTGCATTTCAGTGGCAATCTGCGCAGTGATTTCAGCAACGATTTGCTCCGCTACATCGTCTAGCACAGCACTGTTTCTGCAGTGCCGTCAAAGTGACTCGCACGAGCGCTCGCAAATGAGACGCTGCAATTTCTTTGCCCTATTTGTCTGTTTGCTAGCGCAGACTCCACCATAAAGACAGGCGCCTTGCTGCATAGCGATCCGAATTGTGACGAAAGGATTTTAATTAAGCTCCCATCGTCGTTCCAGTCATTCTCCAGCCATTTGGTTCACGCTTATGTTTTCACGGGCACGCAGGTCCTGAGCGAGCGGTCCGAGGAAGGCGCCTACGCGGTGTCGTTCGTCGACTACGGCAACAGCGAGACGGTGCCGGCAGCGTCCCTGCGACCTCTGCCACCTCGTTTCGCCGAGTGGCCGGTGTTTGCGGTGGCCGTGGTGCCACGAGGGGTGGACCTTGCCCACCCCCGCCTGGAAGAGGTCCTGACCGAAAGGCCCTTTGCCGCCGTAGAGGTTGGGTCTGACGGAGAAGTGCCCCTGGTGCAGCTGGTGCGCAAGGACGGCTCCTGCATTGGGGACCTCCTCTCTGCGACGGCTGGGGCTAAGGCGAGGAACTCTACTTGTGTTCGTGCATGGGGCTCGCCGAGCTTGTACGGAACACGCCGACTGCATTTTATCCTGGCAACAGCCAAAGAACCGCTTCGCGACGTAGTAGTTGAACAGCCAGAGCGTAGGGTGGCTGCTCGCTCGTTTTCGAAATTGCAGCTGGACCGTAGACGGCGCATTTTCGGCAGCCACCTATGCATTGTAGTGGGTGGGGGGTTGGCGCTGTCCCCGTTTGCCTGCAATTTAGGCACCGAGCGTGCGGCCCCCCTGCCTGGGCTGTTCTACTGAGCGCTGCAACATGGAGCGGTTCTTTGGCTGCCTTGGGGATAGCATGTCCATAGGACGAGACTCTGCTCGCGTGTTTTGTACAAGTTTGGTGAGCACCTCACTTCTCTATATACAAGGACTGATGTGGCAGTTAATGTATGGCTGTGATTAGTGTTGTGAAGATATTCGAAATTTTGAATATTAGTTTTGAATATTACACTATTTGATATTCGCTTCAAGATGAACTACGATACTCATATTTTTTACAGTTTTCATCACGGAAAGGCTTGCCCCTTTGGCCGCGCCTCTTACCGAGCGTCGGTGCGCCGTGGAGAAGCAACACCCGCGGAGCTTGTTTCCACGGGTGTTGCTTCTCTGCAGTGCACCGGTGCTCGGTAAGAAGCGTACTCAACGGAGTAGACGGCGCGATCGACGGTTAGAAAAAGCATGAATATCGCAACTGCGTACTCGGGAGAAACGCACACTTCCGGACAGTATGGGGCACGCCTGGTGTATCAAAAATTGAAGCGAAACTTTGTGAATGATGATATCTGCATTGGCGTAAAATGTTCAAAATTAAACTGTTGCTATTAGGCAACAGTGTATGTTATGCCGCAGAACCCAGGGATCCTGTCTTCAATCCCCATCCTCGCCCGTTTCTACCTGGATGAGCATCGTACCGGCGTGCGGTGGTGTGCCACTACTGCATGGTGCACGTTAAAAGACAGCAGGCTAACGGTTGTACTGCACTGGCTAAATTGCTCATCTATAGTTGAGGGACAAGTCGCCCGTTGAGGCAGGCTAAGCGCAGGCTGTATACGCACACAAGACATGTTAGACAGAAACGCCCTGAGAGCCTGCATTCATGATTCTTTTTATTTGCTTTTTTTTTTCAAACTGGAGTTTTAGGAAAGTAATATTTGCATATAGCGAGATTTGTAAATCCACTCAATTAGAGTGTAGCTGGGCATCTCTATGGGTTTAATTTTATGTCAAATTCGTTATGTACTTGCCGTTTCAGGGCATTCAACTTTCTCAGCTGTCGGTCCATATACATAATAGTCTATTAAAATTAGCTTATGAATGGACAAGGGGAAGCATGGGAACAACCTACACAAGTTCAGATGGGTTTTTGTTTAAGCATTCACTTCAAACTCAAAATCCCTTATTTGCGCGTGACTACTTGTGTGATGCTGATTCGGACATTTGGGAGAATGATATGGTGTAGATACTGATAAAGTGAAGATTATGGCTGGAAACAACGACCTTAGTATAACAATGTTCTAATGTAGCACGCAGACCTCTTTTTTTATTTGTAGAAAAAAATGTCTGGATGTTATTGTGTTGCTTTTAAGTTGGGAAGTAATACAGTAAAATGCTTACGTAACGATAGGACAAACTGAGAGTCTGGAGTCGTTTGAACGTGGACATCATTTTTAAAACACCTTGAAACACTTTTATACGCAAGGCTCACACAACACATTTCGTCTTCATTTCACCTGTAAAAGCTTTTGTTGTTGAGGCAAGTGAATGTACCGATTATTCTAGTTGAGTTGCAAAAACTGGACCGGAGTTGTTTTTCCCGATTAAAAGTTTAAGTCGATTTTGTTACTGCATCACTAGTACAGATCTGTTGCCGTGTTTTGGCCAATCTACATGATCCACTGTCTGTTTACGAAGCACCCATCTTGTGTTTCTTCATACTTTCAAAGTGAAAGCAGCTTTTGAGCATTTGAGATAGGCCAGAAAACAAAATGCCTTATGATGTATTGGATGGGCATAAACGACAGAAAGCCATGTGGAGACTTTCATGATTTACATTTATCTGTACTCTGTTTCACAATTACTTGGTGAACTGTGGAGGCTGGGCCCTAACATTAGCAGCCGCCACAGATTTACGGGTAAATTGAGGTTGTCTCATGAACTGTTTGTAAGGAGCTCGCCATTCTAGTGGATGACAATGTTGCGGCGGTGGACGTTCATCCGAAGTTGGTTGGTTTCGCAGCAGACAACACTTCACCAGCAGACGAGAGCCGGTTTCTCCGGGTCTCGCATTTGGCACAGTGACACGCACGCTCCTGTGACGTTGTGGCACGTGCCTCGCTCCGACGCCTTATTGGGTCACAGGGGCCGTAGCCTCCACCATTCGCCAGGTTATCGTGAAACGGAGTATAAGTTGTCGTTGCCCTTTACTTTGTGCACCCACCTTTTGCTCTTTTTAGGACTTAGAAATTGAAACTTGCGGGAAAAAAAAAAATGCACCAATCGCCGACTTTATTCAACTTGTCTCGTCTAAACAGGAGCCCTCAAAGACCTCAAAGAAAGCGTTCGAAGAACGTCCACTCCCACCAGGCCGCAGTCCGGCAACTATCACCCACGTCTCGACTGCCAACGGACGTTTCTACCTCCAGCAGTTGAGCACAGCCTCTTCACTCGCGACTCTCACGAAAGAACTGGACGCCAGCGTTGCGAGAGCACCGGCAATATCGCCGTCTGCACTATCGGTCGGAGACGTCCTTTGTGCGCGGTACGCAGCAGACGGACTCTGGTACCGTGCCACCCTGGTTGGCCTTTCGGACGACTCCAACGCGTCCTTGAAGGTTCATTTTGTGGACTTTGGGAACACCGAGAATGTTGTACGGGCGGACGTCAGAGCCCTGCCGGAGAGGTTTCAGAACACATCTTCGTTTGCGAACTGCGTCCTTCTACACGGCGTGAAGTCGGTGGGGAAAGAGTATGCGGAAGAGCTGACTGGTGCCAAAGTGTCGGTTGAAGTGGTAGACGGCTCGTGCCACCCACCGAAGGTGTCTTTGTTTGCCAACGGGGTGTGCCTCAACGAGCTGATCGAGTGAGTGACGAGCATTGGGTGAAGTTGAAGCGCAACTATTTTGGTCACCAGGAGTGTTATTACAAGAGCTATATATTTTCTTACATTCTATAAAGCATTTTGTTCACCTGTTTGAGAGAGTTCAATAAACGGTGCTCAGCATTGGTGCACCTAGTAAGTTATGCCTGTTTAACTTTTGGTGTCCTAGAACCTTCTTTGTTATAGCCTATTGGGTTGTTATAGATGTTATAGCCTATTGGGTTGTTTCCTTGACACTTTCCGGTGCGTTCAGGAATGTGTAAAGTGTATGGTTCGCAGTTATCACTGATTGAAACTGAAGCTTTGGTGATCCCCCACTCCTCACAAGCAGGTGTTTTTTTAGTTTTTTTTCCACGGTACTTCGTACCGTAGCATAGCACGCATCGTGCTTGCCCGCAGCAAAAAAGCAAGAGTACCAGTCGACGACTTCATATCTATGCATTATGTGTGATACACTATTTTTTATTTATATATTTTCTCGGGGCTAAAAGGCCCAGAGTGGAGTGGGCTAATACATAAAAAACAACATACCGTAATCTCTAGGGCTGGGCATTAATTAAAATTTTTAAACCAGTTAATCACAACCCTTTAATAGATCAATTAATCGGTTAATCAGTTTCGTTCATTTTAATGCATAATTTTAAAGTCAAGATTAGATATTTGGGGGGGGGGGGGGGGAGGGTAGGAATATGTTCCAAGTTACGTGCAGATTATTACTTCAGCTGGATGAAGCAAAGAGGTTCATTGATAATCTCCTGCAAGAACAGTCTCCTTTGATCGTTCACAATAGTTCTAGCTGTGCTAAACGGACACTGGAGCAACGTGGTCTGGACACGTGAAACCTGCACTTTCATGGAGCTACATATATCGCACTTACAGTTGAGGTTAAAATGTCACCCAAGTTTGCCCTTCGTATATGTGTACTCGTCCATGTTTGCGTCGTGAAAGTATTTTTCTTTTTGGTTTGTCAAAACGACACCGATTAACCGGTTAAAATTGATCACGATTAAAGCATTAATTGATTAACCGGTAGGCCAATCGATAATTGCCCAGCCCTAGTAATATCTCCACTCAACGCCCACCCTCCCGCCACGTGAAATTTGTAAAAAGAGTGGGATGGGCGACGACACCTAAATTTAAAAAGCAAAAATAAATGCCAGAAAATATAAATTTTTCAGCGCGTATCTAGCATGGCCACAGCAAAGAAACACTAGTTGTTTTCCTGCTTGGGGCACTTGCTAAACAGCATTTTACTGTCGTGCAAAATAAACTTCTGTTCGCTGCTAACATAGGCATAATGAAAGTGCGTGCTCCTTAACGGCCGCAACCGAAAGACGACCGTAAACCCGAGCTCTTTTGTCGTTTGCGCTTCAAACCTTTAAAAATAAACACTAAAAAAAAAAAAAAGATCTATTGGTGGATTCTTAGGGAATGCATTAGCATGACCTTTGGGAAGTGTGACACATGTCTCTTTGGGAATCGTTAACGCTGACCCCTTTACTTTTTTTCTGTTCTGGCTTTCTCGTTTGCTTCCTTTATTTTTCTCTGCATCTTTTTAGATTCATTACGTGGTCAGTGTTAGCTTTTCTCAAAGAGAGACGTGCGTGGCGTTTCTCGAAGGGTCATGCTAACGGATTCCCTAAGAATCCACCAATGGATCTTCCTGCAATTTTCGTAGCGTGAGCTACACTGGCCGAGATTGAGCAGTTTCGCGTGGCTCGCATAATGAGCTGTGCTCCGTGCTGCGCAAGCGCGAGGAGCAGTGACGTCACACGGCGCACAGCTGGCGCGGCGCCGGAGACGCCACCGCCGCGCGCGCCTCGCCGGTCTACGCATGCTCGAGGAGCACTGACGTCACACGGCGCGCCGGAGCCGCCGCCGCCACCGCGCGCGCCTCGCCGGTCTGCGCATTCCAAAGGAGTGACGTCATAGCCGCGGCAGATGCACTGGCGCCGCCGCGTGCCCAGCTGTGCGCCTCCGTTGCGCAGTAGCCAAGTCTGACGCTGGCCCGGAGCCGCTTGATAGCACCTCATTTTGTGCGTATAAGCTCACGCTGCGTATATCCTGGCATAGCCGAAGTAAGCCACCGCAATTTTTTTCACCCTTTTCTGTACTCTGCCTGTCAGAGTATGTCGCCGCCCTTGGGTATGGTCATCTATATCATTGGTGGAAAGAACCACATTCATACCACTCGTGGAGTGAACCACATCCATCGTTATAACTACACGAACGCATCACAGCCCACGCATCGCTACCATAGTGTCGAACCGTAATTTTTAATCGGCTCGATTCGGGTTCGGTTCCAGTTCAGTTCCAGGGAGCAGAAATAACAGTTCCAACCGGTTTAAACCGCTAAATTGATATTATATTTTCCGCATTTTTTTTTTTTTTAAATTGGCACTATTTTTGCCGTAAAATGAGTAATTGTATTGTTTCTTTTTTGTCGTTCATCCACTTTTATTTTTATATTCCAAAAAAAAAAAGATTACAGTAAAAGAAAATCTGGATTAATATACAAAACATTATATTTATACGGCTCGGCGTCCATTTGTTCGTGAAGCGTGATACACCGTTTTAAATACCCTTCATTGGTACAGCTTTGCGTCGCAGCACTAAAAGTTGAATCGTAGTTGTGCACTTGAACAAAGGAATTAACTGCGCTTGATAAAATCATGAAATGGGCCCTCGCCATCACATATATTGTAAAATATAATTTACGAAATACGTTTCACAATATATATGATGACGCAACTGAGCTAAAACCATTTTTTGATTTGTCACGAAATAGAGTGGCAATCTCAATGCTTGTTTTCCTAACCAACATTGTTTACACTCAGCACCGCGATGCAGACGAAAAATCATGCAGAAGATTGATCAAAATTGTTCGCTCTAATCGGGAGGCACTCACTTGATCGAATGACGTTTTAGCGAACGCCCACGTTTCATCGAATGACACTTTAGCGAATAGTCGGACGCCGCGAAGCGGCATTCTCGGGTGGGCCAAGTGAGTTCATATTTTTGTAATGAGTTGCCGCAGACTGTCGCCGCGAAGCGGCGTAAAGCGCAGCGCGACGGATGGGTTAACGCGCGCCCCCGTTATTCGCTAAAACGACCATTCGCTCAAATGTCGCCGTTCGCTAAAATGTCATTCGCTCTTGTGATATGGACCCGCTCTAATCCATACGCACATTCATACTCAGATCGAACGTGGCCTAAACAAGTGCGTACCTTGTTTATATTTCCTTATACGGCCTGAACTGTCCTAGCCTGGCTGTTGAGGTTTGATCTTGACAAGATTACAGTCAATTCAATATGCAAATAAGCATCACCGTTGCTAATTGGTGATTTTTCGTTGAATAGAACAAATTAGTATTTCGACATGGCTACTTAATTGGTCACTTTCTGACGGTCAGTCTGTGTCATGTAAAATGGGTCGTGCAACATTTTTTTAAAGTATTTTCAGTAAATGCCGTTAAGAACTAACCCTGACGTTGATAACTTGCAATGCCGTTAAGAACTAATCCCTGACGTTGATAACTTGCAAAAACACCCATTAATTTTCCTCTTCGCGCTGTGGCAGATGCAGAAAAAGATAAAGGAAATAAACAGCCTTCCCCTCCTCAACTCGCAATTAGAACAAACGGCCACGTGATCTGATGTGAATTATATACCGTCGGTGCTAATCATAGTCATGCACTGTGGTTGGCCAAGCATAGAGAATGAGCTGAGCTTCAGACATTGTTAGAGGAGATCGGCTGTTTTCATCTTTAATTGAACTCGAGCCATTACCCGAATTTTTGCAGAGTTTGATTGTCATAAACCCGAGCACTCGACTCGGGCTCATGACAATCGAGCACGTCACGGTGTTTACTTGAATACCAGCTGAACGTTAGGAAAAGCGACGGAGAGAAGAGAACAAAGAACCACACTGCTGGAATATCACCGTCGCAATGCGAAGTCGTGACGTCATGTGACGTCACGATGTCAACAACGCTTATGAATCTACTGATGTTCTCAATTTCAATCGACTTGACGGAGTGAGTCACTGCGTCACGTGGCCCCATAATCCACTGCTTGGATTATGGGGCCACGTGACGTGACAATATTTGACAGTATGACGTGACACATGATTAATCATAGTGTTAATACAAAAGCGCCACGAAAACCCCCAATTTCTCATATCAATTCTGTATAGGACGATATGATCAGTAGATGGAAATACAAAGCTCTGCCAATTTTTTATTCTCAAATATTCATTTTGTGTCATTAAAAAACAAAAAAACAATGTGAATCGTTTTGAACCAGTTACCGTTATATCTTTTTCCAATTCAGTTCTAAGATAGCGGAGAAAATTCCAGTTCGGGTCAGTTCAGGTTCGGTTAAAAATAACGGTTCAGTTCCGGTTTTCGCTTCAGTTCGGTTCCGGTTCGACACTGTGACCACTACAACGGAATAGATGCACCCGCCGCATGCACTCACCAAAATTACTAGGTCGTCACACTTTTGCGGGGTTTTCCACGACGAAGCATTGCGCCTATCTACCTCAAACCATGTTATACAAACCCCCCCCCCCCCCCCCCCCCCCCCCCCCCAAGAAAACAAAACAAAACAAAAATGCCAAAACGAAATTAAAGCCAGAACTCTACGCTATCTTCCCTTGCCAGTGGTCTGCCGACCGCTGGCTTGCTGGTTTTTAATTTGCACCGAACCTGAGCGCACTGACCGTAGTAACTTAATGAAACTTTTCTTTTCTCGAATTTCGCTTTATTTTAAAAGTTATAGGCAAATTAAAATGACAAAAACAAGCAAAAAATAACCTCCTTCATGACGTCCTTGCTCGTCAATTTATTAACACGCACACAACGAACCGAGGCTGTGTTAACACATTTATGATCCTGTACTGTTTATACACCTGCTAATTGTGTCGCAGCAATTAAGCTCAAATAATTTCCACTCCCAGTGATGCATCTTTTTTTAATGCCAAACATGTTATTAAATGTGTCGAATTTGAAAACGTAAAAATCGACTGTATCAGACTCAATGCGTCAAATGGAAATAAGAAACAGTAAATCTTTTTCGGGTTATTCTTTCCTGTCAACGCTTACTTTTATCAACATGGACCTACACAAACTTTTAACATTATGTTCTTTTTCA